TTTCTTCAGGACAGGAATTGGTAACATCTGGAAAAGATCCAAGTATTTTGGTAATACATTCATTTTTATGCAATTACGCCCAATTAAAGACAAAGGTAAATCATTGCATCTATTACAGTCCTCTTTTGTCTTTTTTGGTAATGGTGTATAGTTAAGGGAAAATGAATTATACTCTTCATTTGGAATTTTAAGTCCAAGATAGGTAATGTGATTAGGGCTCCATTGAAACATAGTATCAGGAGGTTCAGCTTTAGCTTTGGCGTTGAGGTGCATGACAACACTTTTATTTTTATCAATCTTATAGCCAGATATTTTACCATATACTGTCAGTGTGTCCATAAGAGCTGGGATAGATTCACCTGGACTTGAGAGGTATACCAATATATCGTCCGCATATAGCGACAAAGCCTGAATACAGTCACCCATTTGTATACCATGAATGGCTGGGTTAGACCTTATAGCCGTACCTAGCGATTCAATCACGATAGCAAATAATAGAGGCGAAAGGCAACAGCCTTGTCTAGTGCTACGTGATAGAACAAATCTGGCTGAGATGTCTTTGTTAGTTTGTATTTGTGCTGTAGGGTGTTTGTAAAGCAGTTTGACCAAGTTGGTGAATTTGGGACCTATGTTCATTCTTCCCATCGTCTCAAACAAGTGCTGCCACCCTATGCAGTCGAACGCCTTTTCTGCATCAAGTGATACTGCAACCCACAGGTTTTGGTCAGACTTGGAGCTGTAAATTATATCAAAAAATAATCGTACATTGTCAATTGATGATCTATTCTGAATGAATCCTGTTTGGTCTGTGTTGATAACGCCAGGAAGTACTTTTTTAAGTCGTAGAGCAAGGACTTTAGAAAAAAATTTATATTCACTGGGCAAGATTGAAATAGGCCTGTACGAGCTGCAGAGTTTAGGGAATAAATGCTTTGAAAAATTCCATGGGAAATCCGTCATGACCTGGCGATTTTCCTGAAGTGAGGTCAAAGCTTTCATCACTTCCTCTTTTGTAATACTGCCCTCTAGTGTCTCCTTCTTATCATCAGATAGTGTAGGAAGAGCGAGATTATCCAAAAAATGCTGTATACTCACAGTGTTACATCCTTGAGATGTATACAATGACTGGTAATAACTCAAGAAAGCCTCATAAATCTCTTTAGGATTACTAGTAAATGTGTCATCCTTTTGGATTGTATATATTGCCATGTTTGTCTCCTCTTTCTTTATCTGCAAAGCTAAAAGCTTCCCTGCCTTGTCTCCCTGTTCATAATATCTATGTTTCATTCTTTTTTATAGCATTTTCTGTCTTATGTGTATTAAGCATGTTACATTCCAGCTGTTTTGCTTTCAGTTGTTGGAGAATGATACTGTCACATGACTGTACATGTTGTCTTTCTAGTTTCTTAATCTTATTTTCAAGATATTGGATTTTGGTTATATACTTTTTGCGTTTACTTGAGGTGTAAGTTATTATTTGACCTCTGAGGTAAGCTTTCATAGCATCCCATACAATGTTAGGGTTTGCAGTGTTTTGATTTATATTTAAAAAAGAGTCAACTTCCCTGCCAATCATATTCACAAATTCTGAATCGTTGAGGTAAATCTCCATCTGTTACACCAGGTAATTGGTGTGGATGCAGGTATAGTTACTAACAAAGCAGCGTGGTCTGATAAGGTCCTTGCTTCTTGTGCAAGGTTGGAGATAGATCAGGGAATGTTTATTTTGGAGTTACCGTGCAAGATGTTTTCGGTGTCCTTGTAGTGGAGAAGTTTAAAGGCCTTCCGTGGTCCCTCTGCGTGTTTATTATGGTCTTCCTAGAAGGCAGGTTACCTTCAATTCCCTCCGGGAACCCTGCGATCCTCAAATTCTTCCTTCTCTGACGATTCTCGAGTTGTGCCCAAAGTTCAGCCTCAGCCCGGGAGTGTTTCTCGGCCAGCTCGTCATGGTCTTGTTGCAGGCTGGTGACTGACTGCTCGAGCTCGGTGCATTTTTGCTCCAGTTTCCATCTCTCTCAGAAACCAGGGTCCATGAAGCTGTCGATGTTAGCTTGCAACGACTTAGAGCTAGCCATGTTAGCGCCAGCCGTAGCAGCCGCCCTCTGTCCGTTATTTTTCTTTTCGTCTGGTTTTTTAGGTGGCATTTGGCACTTTGGTCTATGTCAACGTCTTGGGTGTTCGTCAATATATAGAAAGTAGAGAAATGGGCTGTAAAGCACTACAGGTTACGTGATAATCATGAAATATCAGGAGAGCTCAAGAGCGTGCTGCCGTTCACTCTGCCGCCATAACCGGAACTCCCAGTAGATATCATTTTAAAAGGCATGGGTATTGTAAGCTCTGCCTGGGGACTCCATCTTTTCTTTCATTTTACAATAAAATTATCACTAAAGACTACATTTCATTCACCTTCATGCGGTATGGAACAGAAGCATGCTACCTCAAAACTTAAAGGTGCTATAAGTGTTTAGTTTTTTGTTCCCTCCTTTCTGCAGTAAACAGAGAATACATTTCCTTCTTCATTTTTATCCAATCAGGAGACAGAACTCCACAAAGACAGTTCTCAAAGGCAGCCGGCAGAAAGTCAGTGTGGTGACATGGGGGTGAGGGAGGGGCTGCTAACTGCAATGGACAGGAAGTTAGCCAAAATGCTGATTTCACTTACGGCACCTTTAATTAGATGAAATATGATCATTTGGGTCCACACCACTCGTGCTTTGTTTTGGTTTTTGTTTTGTTTGTTTGGTTGGTTGCTGGGGGGGATTGTGTGTGATTTGGGTGAACTGACCCTTTACCTTTAACAATAAAACATCAGCGCAGCACCAGCTCACTGACTTCCACACTGAGCAAACATGGTTCTTTATGATGATATGGAGGTGATATTTGTGTGTAGCACAGTAGATATGCATTTCTTTAGATGTGTGTGTGTGTGTGTGTGTGTGTGTGTGTGTGTTTTGTAACTGTACTGCTGTAGGGCAAATAGAGGAATGCAATCAAACAAGTATGACTTGAAGAAGCTGCAGTACAGGCCTGTCGAGAAAGATACAGCACCAGTCTATGTCTATGGGTAAATGGTAAATGGACTGTACTTATATAGCAGAACCAGAACGGAAACTAAGCATTCACACAGTCATACACCGATGCATCAGGAGCATCGGGGGTTCAGTGTCTTGCTCAAGGACACTTCGACGTGCAGCAAGAGGAGCTGGGGATAGAATACAGCACACACATTGATTAGGCAATAAAATACTTACACTGCATACTGGATATCAGCAGTAAACGTTAGGGACTGTACAAAAATGATCCTTTTTGCTGGAGTCCCAGTTAGATTTTATTTCCCTTTTCCCTTGTGATATTTATTGTAAAAAGAAACAATATTTAAATCATACAGTCATAAAAGTGTGTTTTGCCATATACAAATCTTTGAAATAATCAATAATTTTGGCATTTGGTGGGTATGTGGAATGGTTTTTCCATTAACAAATTATGGTTTAAATTGGGTTACATCAAGTTACATTATTCGTGTTCGCGTTCGGCGAATGGAGCTGCATCTCCCTATATAGGCCACTCCCACTTCTGCCTGGATTTTTTTTCCCCGCTAGAGCGCAGAAATGTCCAAAAACTACGTTTCCGTGTTCCATCCATGTGCTTTTGTGCGATTCGCACAAAACTTTTCACTTAGCATCTGGTGACCGTCCTGGCAAAAAATGTAATTTAAAGTATTTTGATATTTCAAAAAATAAGCCTGTTATAAAATTAGCACTTCCTGTTGATTTTTCGTCAAAAAAGGAAGTGGGCTATTTCTCCACATTGCCATTTTGTTTGTCATTTTCACTTTTTCGCCTTGTATTTGAACAAACTCCTCCTAGGGAATTTATCAGATCTGCTTCAAAACTGGACAGTACACTTGAAAAATGTTGCCGATTACAAGTTGTGCTATTTGTGACTGTACGTTGAAGGGCGTGTCCGTGGCGTGCCGTCAAAGTTGGCCATTTTGAATTCCGTGGTCATTTTCTGTGAATTTTTCACCTTGTATTTGAACGAACTCCTCATAGGGGACTTATCTTTTTCTCTCAGACATTTTTATTGAATTTTAATCACAAATACAGAAATGTTCATACACTGTACTTTTTTTTTTTTCAAAGTGATAAAACACAAACCCCCCCCCCCCCCCCACTAGCCACATCTACAAACCATATTTCCTACGGAGTATTGTTCCCGGAGTATCGTAGGAAACCGCTGGAAGTCAAGTATTAAATTGAAAGATAAATAGGGGACTTATCAAATCTACTTCAAAATTGGACAGTACAATCAAAACAAACTGTAGATGAAAAGTTGCGCTATTTGTGACTGTACGTCAAACCGCGTGCCAGTGACAACTTGTCGAATTCAGCCGATTCGCCATAAAACAGTACTCATAACTTCATATATTCTGTAACAGTCTCGCCCTGAACACGCCCTTATAACTTCAGTTTACGTGGTCCAATCTCAATGAAACTTCATGTGTTTGATAACACTCTCGCCCTGAACATGTCTACATGACAATATTCAGACATAGTGATAGCGGCACCTACTGGCAACAGGAAGTAAGCACTGCGTGGCGATTTTGAGCTGATTTACATGAAATTTTCATGTTGTGGTCCACACGTGTGACGACAGCACGTGACGCAGCCGCAGCACGCCCCGAGTTGCGTGGAGTGCGAGGTCCCGCCCAACGCTGCTTGCAGCTTTAATTATTATTATTATTATTACTACAGTTACTATTATTACTGTAATTACTGCTCATTGTCACCCATTGTTTTTGTCGTCATAGTCATCATTTTATAAAGAGTTCGGTCTAGACCTGCTCTATTTGAAAACTGACCTGAGATAACTTCTGTTATGAATTGGCGCTATACAAATAAAATTGAATTGAATTGAATCATTCTGCACAGTGAAGCTCAAACATCACACTGATTTCAGACCGGTGAGGACTTCAAGTAACAATACCAGACCAGCTCTTCTGTTGACATTGATCTTTTTCATCATTTTATTATATATATATTTATAATATGTACAGAAAAAAACATGATCAAACTCAGCAGGGAGACAGCACCAAAGTGAACAAGCCAAACTGAAAAAAAGACAGAAGGTGACTGACAGGCGAGCTCCTGCTCGGTGCTTTTTATTAACAAACAACACCTAGTGAGTGCCTTTATTAAGCCATTGAACAGCGATGGACAAGTGTGCAAATGGAAAACACCCCCTTCAACCCAAATGAATACAAAAAGTGAACAAAAGAAGAAGAGTCAAGTGTTTCATCAGAATCACATTCATAAGCAAAAGCCCCACCCAACATCAGAGCCCCCACCCTGCCCAGTGTCCCCTCATACTTCCATGGACTAGACAACACAGTATAGTATTCAATGAATACATTAAAATCAGTAGAATATCAAGACTTGTTGAAAGAAAAGTTTAAAAAAGAAAATCAAACTGCAGGACATCCAGTATATGTATGTATTGTGTGTGTGTGTGTGTGTGTGTGTGTGTGTGTGTGTGTGTGTGTGTGTGTGTCTCGAGTGTTAAGTTTCGAATGATAGCTCGTTCTGCATCTACTCGGGTGAGACTGGCACAATGCCAACATGTGTCCAAAAAACTCAGGAATGTTACACGCACCCTTGCCCCACTCTATACACAAACACAACACACTCACTGCTTCCTTCCCTCCCCCTTTAATGGCAGATTCCAGTCCTGCCGACAAACTGCAGCATTCCAGATTAGCTCAACAGGGCTGAAAATGCTCCCAATACGCCAGTGTAAAACGATGCCACTGCGCACGTCTCCACGTGGTGCCAATGTGATTAGAGGCGGCCGACATCATGCTTCGCTCTGATCACTCCGCAGCTGAAGTGATGGTGATGAGGCTTCACTGTCCTCAACATGTGTTTAGAGCTGAGATTGCACTTTTGCAGCTGCATGCTCTTTGGGACCGTGCGGCAGCAGAAAAGTTCTTGCAGAGAGAAACCAGGAGTGCAACCAAAGCCTGGGTGAGATTCTCTTATCTGAGGAGGAGGGGCCAGTCAGGGAGGATTCATCACACTGCAGTCACCTGGGTCAGTCAGTGTACTCTGCGGCCAACAGATTTTCATTTTGAAATGAGAAAACCAAAATCTTGACTACATTTATAAATACGGGTCGGTTTTCCATTTTTATTTAAAAAAACAAAAAAACAACAGAAAACAGGCTCGTTTCTCATTTTAAAGAAAATCAGTTGGCTGCAAAATACACTGACCGACCTGGTTGGCTGGAGGGGAGAGTTGGGGAGTTCATATCCGGTCAGCAAACAAAGACCAGTCAGTCCCTTAACCTCTGGACGCCCCCAACGCCACACAAGTGATGAACTCAGGTTTGAAATGGAACACCATTAGCTTCTGAGCACGGACATCTCCCTGCTGTGTACAACCATACCAGAGTTCTTAGAATGCTACTTCTAGTATATGCACTCTTTAAAGTGGTATACAACATCACTAAATGTTCCAGTTCTGTGTAAAACAGGGTAAAACGGTGGGCAGAGTGTTGAGTTCTTTACGTAGAGGCCCCTCTATAAGGGCAGAGGGTTGCTCTTTTCCTCACATTCCTTCCAGTTTCCCTGGAAATACCGCAGAGACCTAACACAACTATGAGAGCCGCTCATAGCCTCACACCCACCTCCGATTCCACCCTTACTACACCAACCGTTGGCAGATCATCAGGTCTGTACATAGCTGTCTTGGTACAGCGACAAGGGGAACTGCTAGCTCCAGTTTGCTCCTCTGTAAGTAAGAAGGTATCAAACCTCACTGGAGGTTCATTCTCTTCTTTACTCAAAGCTTCTGATCAAGTTTGCCAGTTTCTCTTAACTCAGGGCACACTTAAGTGCCTTTTTTCAGAGCTTTCAGCCACCTTTCACCTTAATGAGGAATTACAATTTTTGAAGATCATCAAGAATGTTCAAAAGGATAGGGGAAGTCTATCAATGTCCATGTCCACAGCTTTGCGGACATTACTGCAGGAATTAAACCAGTGCTTCCCAACCTTTTTGGTATGAATAACCCCCATAGTCACATAAAAAAAGATATATTGGTGGATGTTACAATATTTTCATACAATTTAAATCTATAATATCTAACATTTCGGCATTAAAATGTCTATAGACACATCATTACTTGTCATTTTATTCAGGTAACGCTGTGTTTCACCGGTCGCCTATGGCGTCATATCCTCTTTGTGCCTGCGTCAGCGTTGTGGTTGTCTGCCAGAAGCTGTCATACATTGACTGTTGATCCAGTCTGAAGCCACATTGTTACCATCCACTGTTTAGATCTTGGTGCTGTTTAACTCTAGATTTGAACCAGATGAAGGATTTTAGTCATCCCACCGGGACGTCCTTTGTCTGTCCAACAGCGTGGGAGAAGCAGTGATTGTTAAGGTGGAACTGCTTTATTCAGTGTGTTTAGTGGCTTTAATCAGCGGGTCTGTTTGTTTTGGAGAGGAGGAGACCTCTGTGGATAATTGGGCTCCCGGTAGAAACCTCCTGAACTACTACTACAACCACATCATTGATTACATTTTTTCAAATTAGTTGAGCTCTTCTTATAATCTCTCCATGTACCCCTTGGCAACAGCAGAAGTACCCACTGGGGTACAAGTTCCCATGGTTGGGAATCACTGTGTTAAACAACCTGTCGTGTTGAATATAAAGGCCTCATTATACTGCAAACAAAGTAATCGTCAAATCATCAACAGAAACAGCTGTACACTTTTGTCTTTAGATGATGTGGGACAACATTTCGTACAACCTTGTTCATTTGAAGCATATTGAGGCCTTAGTAGTTATTGTTGAGGAATCAAATGTAGAAAGACGGATTACACAAGTGGCACAAACTGGAGCATTAGAGCATTTGATAAGGAACCAGAAATACACAGGGACTAAAAGACAATGGGACACAGCTATAACAAACGGGACGACCTCGGGGAAGGAACAGCATCTTCAGTAAGACCCCACCCCCTCAGCCAACAGACACACCCACACCACATCTCTACCTCAGCTTCATCTGCAAACAAGCCAGAACGAAACGACACCCTAAAACCTACCTGTCACGAACTGAACGTGACAGCTGAAGCTAACTGTACGAATTGTCTCTCTCGATGAGAAAATAAAAAACAATCAAACCACAACAATAATAAAAGAGTAATTGTAAGATCAATGCAGAATACTGCCAATTGCTTCGGTTTGTCAAAGATGTCACACACCCTCACTCTTGTCATATCCGTGGGCAGCGGGACTGTAATGTTTAGTGTCATTCCAGGAAGTCACCGTGCTAAATGTCACAGCATTTTGTCACATTGCTTTCTTTTACACTTGAAATTATTCCTTTGAAGACTAAAAAAAAAAGAACTAACACCATATATGGCCATGACAACCACCTCCATCCGAGCTCTGACATCTACATGTGGAATCAACTGACCCGCCAATGGTTCCTGCAGGGGGTTTGGTTAAAGAATGCCTCGGTTAATGCTCCCAGCAAGTACTACAGTCTGTCTTTGCATGGAGATCTCTTCTCCTGCGTGTGACCTCATTACTGGGGCCTGGTCACACCAGCATTAATAACAGCAACATTCTGAGCCAAAGGCAATTTATTTCATTGGAATCACTTGAATTAAATCTGCACAAAGCTTTTCCTTAGTTTAACTTTGTTGATTCTTTTTGATGCAATCATTTGTGCCATCGAGAAATCGCATGCCGTCTTCTGACTTTTGAGGGAACAAAGTGGAGGAGGCTATCATGTTAGCTGTGTTGTGCCATCCACTTTATATAAGAGACATGGTTAACAGACAAGAGTCGATGGTACATTGGTGGTCTCTTGAGGGAACTAGCTAGCTGGCTTGTTTGCTCACAGGCCCCAGCAGCTTGCCAACTAGCCGCACAAGTAGTCGCTATGCTACCTAGCTTGTTTCATGAGAGTGCAAAATAAATGTTGCTTTGCCAACTTCTGACCAGTATGCTTCATGGTGGAATTAAGGGATTGGAATTGACGATTTTTGTATCTTTAATTTGACAATCATGCTCACTTTATAGATCAATTGACCCTTCCTAAGCCCCACCCCCTTTTGCCTTCGTCAACTTCCTCCTTTCCTGTACTTAGATATGCTATGTGCTAGGCTAGGCTACTTTGAAAAGACAATTTGAGGATGGTTAAAAGATAAAAGTGACCTATATACAGTATCGTCACATCTTAAGTGATCTAATATTATCAAAAACACAAGCTAACTAGCTAGCTAATTTACATCAACCGTTAGCTGGCTAGTTACATTTGAAAGCTAGTGCTAGCAATACTCTAGCTAACTAATTAGATAAATTACAAGCGATAATTAACTATTTAGCTTGTGTTCGGCTAAAATTAGCAAACTTAAGATGCAACTATATATATATATATATATATATATATATATATATATATGTGACTTTTATCTTTTAACCATCTTCAAATTGTGGTTGTCTTTTCAACACAGGCTAGCCTACCACATAGCATATCTAAGTACAGTAAAAGAGGAAGCTGAGGGGTGGGACTCAGGAAGGGTCAATTAGCTACGTGTGAGGGGTTTTGAAAGCAAGCTCTCTTTTTTTGTTCACACAACTACTTCCATTGTCTGTATATACAGCTCCTCCTAGCATGCTTGAAGCATTGAGACCGTAAAGGTGTGCTCAGATAGAACGCAAGGTGAACTTCAGAGCTGGTGCAAATGCGTGTAAAGTCAATGTAAAGACTTAAATGGGCATGAACAGACACAAATTCATCCAACTGAGGCGAAGACACGTCTGGTAGTAGTGTCGCAGAAAAGGTTTCCACTCGAGCAAAAAAACTCAGAGACGGGTGGAATATGAAGACAGACTTGAGAGAAATAACAAAAGAAGTTCAATCAGAGGCTGAGTTGAACACATACACGCACGGTCGAAGAGTCCATTTCTAGCTAGCTTACAGCTAACATCACATCAGTTGGTACACTGGTTGTTTGCTTGCCAAATTCATGTGAATGATCAGAAAATTCCCTTTCTGTCTGAACACACCTTAAGACAGTGAGAGTGGAAGCAAGGGAAGAGGAGGCTTTCTTCAATAAATGGAAAAGATGAGTCACTGTTACTGCTATTCAGGAACACTTCCTACTGTGTACAGAGCATTTACAGTGTGTGACTGAGGCACACTGCACCTGTGTGTGTGCAGGTAAATACGTTTACGCTGGGGCGAGGTGTGGGGATTGCCATAAGATGAGATCAGCCAAGACAGCCTGAGGAGGAAGGTGTTTAGCCAAAAGGCTTGAATCTCTTTAACCCCCTGCCACCCCACGGCAGTGTGTGTGTGTGTGTGTGTGTGTGTGTGTGTGTGTGTGTGTGTGTGTGTGTGTGTGTGTGTGTGTGTGTGTGTGTGTAGAGATAAGTTCACCGATATCTAAATCTAATCTTCCACTGCCTCCATTCCACTCTAAATCAATATCAATCTTCCCCCGGATCTGTTTTCTTTCTGTCCTCTTGGCAGAAAGTAAAAGTTTCCTCGGTGTCCATTTCTGTCCCTCCCTCACAGACTGGTTGCCTTCCTCTTTCTGTGGTCTGCTGGGTGTGCAGGCCTGAATTAACTCTTTTTGGATGTTAACACTAACTGTTTACTCCTCTGTCTGGCCAACTGTCACCGGATCTCCAGGCTGATAGAGGGGAGTCAGTCGTGGGTTACAGGGTGTTATGGAGGAATGGCGGGGTGTGGGAGTGGCAGAGATGACGGAAGGGAACACAGAAGGGGAAGAAAGTGGAGATGGTTGTGAAGGTGGTGGGGGGCGAGGGATCCTCTAACAGCAGCCCCCTCCGGACTGCCTGACGGGGGTGCTCTCGATTTTTAAGTTGGGCTTGTCACCGCCGGCCGTGGCCCCGGGGCCCATGCGCTTCTTGATCTCCGCGGCCATGGTCATGAAGGCCTGCTCTACGTTGGTAGCGTTCTTGGCGCTCGTTTCCAGGAAGGGGATGGCCAAAGAGTCGGCGAACTCCTGGCAGGAAAGGAGGAGGAGGAAGCTCAGAGTGAAACATTCAGAGAGCTAACACTGGTTGTAGAGTTCTGACATTCTATAGACCAACAGATCATATATCAGGTACATCATAATAACAGATACTCATAGCTGTTATTATGATGTTATGTTATATACTCTGTTTACGCTTTGAGGAGAATATATAATATATAAAAATTTAATATTCTATATTTTCCTATTGTCAAGAAATCACAAGAAGTCTAGTGCACCATAGCACCCATTTGTTGTGTTCTGAGTGCTGGGGTGTGACATCGAGTACAACACAATAATTAACTGGTGAAAAGGGAATGTGTTAGTTACGGACAGATACCTTGGCTGTTGTGTAGTCTACTACTTTCTTAGTGGTCAGGTCACACTTGTTGCCCACCAGAAGCTTGTTGACATTTTCACTGGCGTAGCGGTCGATTTCCTGAAGCCACTGCTTGATGTTGTTGTAGGATTCCTGCACAAACGACAACAAGAACAGCTGCATGATAAACTGGAGATAACTGCGGGTCAGTTTACAGGCCTTTTACCACCTCTGTGACTGGGCAGTGAGAGCACAATTCCTCTGAAATACATTGAAATAGCAGAATATTATTAACCTTCCTATCTTTCTAAAGGTCCTAAGGTTCACTACATGTTAAGACTGTATATATGAGGAGGGATAAATAATGTTTAAATAAGGATTATCAAGTGTTCTTGTTATTTTGTCCCAATTATTAATTCTAATAAGATCATTACTTCTACTCACTAATTCTCCTAATTCAAAAGGTTAAGTTGTAAGGTTTGAAAAGCATTTGTTTGTTTTGCCTTTAGTTGACTTATACCATTTTACAACTTTCTAAAATGAATATACTGCTAATTAATGAATTATGTATGAACAGAACTGTACATGGCAAAGTCATACAAAGGCAAAAAGCTATCATAAAGAACTGGACTGATTTTCAGCTCTGAGGAATCAGTACAGACTGCTGACCCACCTGATCTGTCACATCATATACAACTATGATGCCATGGGCTCCACGGTAATAACTGGAGGTGATGGTACGGAACCTCTCCTGACCTGCAGTGTCCCACTGAGAGAGAGAGAGAGAGAGAGAGAGAGAGAGAGAGAGAGAGAGAGAGAGAGAGAGAGAGAGAATATGACAGCAAGGGAGAAAAGATTAGAAATCCATACAACAATCGTTGGGGACTGGAGTAGTTTGCACCTAAGTTTGTAATAGATTATCACAGAACTCCTTTGACTGTGCTCACTACTGTTATTCTATTATATTTCAAGAATAATCTGAATAAATATGTGACAATCGAAAGATCTTGTGTATTGTTTTTTTTTTTACATTGAGCAGCAGTAGGGGATAAAGCCATGAGGAAATGGAGTGTATTTGACTTGGAAGCATTTACTTTGATGGATTCAGCTTATTTCTTTTCATTATGGATGCTGGTAGTTATGGTAACTTCTGCTTTGAGTGTCAAATCACGACAGGAGCAGGATTAAGAAGGCAAGAAGAAGAAGAAGAAGAGCTGTATCACAGTATTTTGTACAATTCTTGCGGTTTCATTGTATATGACGGTATGTTTCTGTTTGTTTTGTTGCATGAATGGGTCTTTATATTGGTTTATAATGGCTTATTCTACTGTCATCATTTATATACTGAAGGCTTTGATTAGTACCTGACGATACAATATACAGTGGGTACGGAAAGTATTCAGACCCCTTTAAAATGTTCACTCTTTGTTTCATTGCAGCCATTTGCTAAAATCCAAAAAGTTCATTTTATTTCTCATTAATGTACACTCAGCACCCCATCTTGACAGAAAAAAACAGAAATGTAGAAATTTTTGCAAATTTATTAAAAAAGAAAAACTGAAATATCACATGGTCATAAGTATTCAGACCCTTTGCTGTGACACTCATATTTAACTCACATGCTGTCCATTTCTTCTGATCCTCCTTGAGATGGTCCTGCTCCTTCATTGGAGTCTAGCTGTGTTTAATTAAACTGATTGGACTTGATTAGGAAAGGCACACACCTGTCTATATAAGACCTTACAGCTCACAGTGCATGTCAGAGCAAATGAGAATCATGAGGTCGAAGGAACTGCCCAAGGAGCTCAGAGACAGAATTGTGGCAAGGCACAGATCTGGCCAAGGTTACAAAAGAATTTCTGCAGCACTCAAGGTTACTAAGAGCACACTGGCCTCCATAATCCTTAAATGGAAGAAGTTTGGGACAACCAGAACTCTTCCTAGACCTGGCCGTCCAGCCAAACTGAGCAATTGTGGGAGAAGAGCCTTGGTGAGAGAGGTAAAGAAGAACCCAAAGATCACTGTGGCTGAGCTCCAGAGATGCAGTAGGGAGGTGGGAGAAAGTTCCACAAAGTCAACTATCACTGCAGCCCTGCACCAGTCGGGGCTTTATGGCAGAGTGGCCCGACGGAAGCCTCTCCTCAGTGCAAGACATATGAAAGCCCGCATAGAGTTTGCCAAAAAACACATGAAGGACTCCCAGACTATGAGAAATAAGATTCTCTGGTCTGATGAGACCAAGATTGAACTTTTTGGCGTTAATTCTAAGCGGTATGTGTGGAGAAAACCAGGCACTGCTCATCACCTGCCCAATACAATCCCAACAGTGAAACATGGTGGTGGCAGCATCAGGCTATGGGGATGTTTTTCAGCTGCAGGGACAGTACGACTGGTTGCAATTGAAGGAAAGATGAATGCGGCCAAGTACAGAGATATCCTGGAAGAAAACCTCTTCCAGAGTGCTCAGGACCTCAGACTGGGCCGAAGGTTCACCTTCCAACAAAACAATGAGCCTAAGCACACGGCTAAAATAACAAAGGAGTGGCTTTGGAACAACTCTGTGACCATTCTTGACTGGCCCAGCCAGAGCCCTGACCTAAACCCAATTGAGCATCTCTGGAGAGACCTGAAAATGGCTTCACCACCTTCACGTTCACCATCCAACCTGACAGAACTGGAGAGGATCTGCAAGGAAGAATGGCAGAGGATCCCCAAATCCAGGTGTGCAAAAACTTTAAAAAAATAAAATACATCAAAATAGTTGTATAAACACTAGCAGTAGTAGTCAAAGCAGTACTTCTCAAGTAAGAAACAAATTGTCACAAATTCACTGATGCAAATAGAATACGTGAGAGACAAGAATGTGTCTACTATTTTCAAAAATCTCAAACTTTTTAAATCACTCTTAAGCTGTTAAATTCAACACTTCCTGTACAGAGGTCTCACTTTAAAAGTCTTCAAGTGGCAGAGAGTTCAGAGCCCTTCTCTCTTCTTCCTTTTAGAATTCAATTTAAAGACGCAGTAGGCAACAACCCAAAGTGTCTTTATATCTTTCTTGGCTCTTGTTTCCGTTCAGGCCCGGTAGATTCTTGCAAATACCATTAGGAGCACTAGGAGGAGCCAGAGGAACCTGATTTTCGCACAGATTATCTGTCTCATGTACTGCTGTCAGGATATAGTGAAGGTTTCAGTGATTATGACAAAAAGTTATTTTTATAAAAGTGACCTACTGCAGCTTCAATTCAATTCAATTTTATTTGTATAGCACCAATTCATAACAGAAGTTATCTCAGCACACTTTTTAAATAGAGCACATAGAGCTTCAAGACCTTAATGGTAAAGCCCCATCATACATCACAGGCCGTACTGTCTGGCACTTGCTAAGTCACGACTAAAACAAGAAGAGGGCAGAGCCTTTGCAGTTGCCATTTGATATAAGATGTGTCCCCCTCCATCTCTGTTTTTAAAATTTAGGCTGAAGGACTGTGTTACATTTTACAGTTTTTAGGGTTCTTTTGTACAACATAAGCTGTGTTTAAACATACTCTAGAAATAAACTTGGCTCTTCTGGCAGGCTTTTAAATGTGAAAATCTGTCAGAATGTTGAGTTTCATTGATGAAAGCTGTCAAAAGAAAAGGCAAAATAGAAGCAGCTGGAAAATAGAAAAGTAGCACAGAGACACGATTGTTGTTGTTAGTGCTGTGAAAAAGTTTTGCTGGATTTACCACATTTATTTATTTTTACAGTACAGCTAATTTCACCCTCAACCTTTTTATTAGTGGCATTTCACTAATAAAACACTTGGCCATTATTTGAATATTAGCTTTTATTTTAGGATTAACAGTATTTATGTAGATGAAAAAATAAACTTGTACTTTGATTATTTGGTTGGCAGTTGACTCCGAGGCTGCCTCCCTGTAAATGCCGGGTTCTAACGGCCATATCAACTGTATTTCTGTGCCTAGGAAGGACAGAGTGGATTCCTTGTAGTTTTCCTTCTTGTAATCAATGATTTAAAGTGAGCATTCCTCTACTCAGCCTGCTTTGAACATGAGGGAGTTTGCACGTCAGCACAAACCCAACCTGATCAACTAAACTTAGTTTGGTAAAAACCTATTTAAGAGTGCCAAGTTGCACTTAATTAAGCAGGTCTGACTTTCCTCAGACCAGAAATAAACAATACAAATATAGCTTATTTTAAATCCACAGCAGTGAATGATCATAACCGGTCCTTCTCTGCTGCAAAATGTAATGTAATGTAACATAGAGCTCATAGTACCCTATTACCCCACTAGAACACTACGTTCTCTGAATGCTGGGCTACTTGTGGTTCCTATAGTCTCTAAAAGTAGAACAGGAGCCAGAGCCTTCAGTTACCAAGCTCCTCTCCTGTGGAACCAGCTTCCAGTTGTGGTTCGGGAGGCAGACACCCTCTCCACATTCAAGAGTAGGCTTAAGACATTCCTCTTTGATAAAGCTTATAGTTAGGGCTGGCTCAGGTGAGTCCTGAGCCAATTATTATTATTAAATTTATTATTACTACAGTTACTAATATTACTATAATCACTGCTCAGGGCTCCAGAGTGTGACCAAAATTTTTAAGAGTGCGACCAATAATGTTTCTAGGTCGCACTGGTGCACCTGACGCTGCCAGGGTGAAAACATAAATTTATTTCGCATGCGCATCACCTCTCTGTGTTCTCCTGTGAGCGAACTCACACACTCATGGTAGGATCATATTGTGTTCTAAACCAATAAGAGACAGAGCTCGGGCTGGTCTTTGCCTCTGATTGGCTGTGGTCCTGTTCACCGCGCTAAATTGTGTGTGTTTAAAAATTGCCGAGCCCCGGTCCTTCGGCGACAGCATCAGACTCAGAACCAGAGGAGGAGACAACCGAGTCTGGGATAGAGCCCGGCTCCGAGACCCAAATTAAAAAGGTCAAAATATATTCCTTCAGACAGGAATGGCTGAAACAATTTCCCTGGCTGAGGTACAACAAAGGACGTAAGGCAATGCACTGCATGCACTGTCAGGAGTGCGGTCAGAATATGGCCGGAAACTGTGCATTCGTGAGCGGGTCAACAACGTTTCGTATCTAACTTTTATTTGGAAATGTTTTATTTTGCTTAGTGTTTTGTTAGTTTGAAATTTAGTTTCAATTTCAGCTCAGTGAAGCATACACAACACTTTATTTTTCTTTTTACATATAATTGTGCTTCAAATAAAGACAAGCATTTCTCTACACCTTATTCTTGTTTAAAAATTCATTCACATTATATCGCACAAGTGCAACCAATGCAAAAACTTAGTCTGGAGCCCTGCTGCTCATTGTCCCCCATTGTTGCTGTTGTCGTCGTTGTCATCTTCTTCCTCATGCTCATCATCATCAGTCACTACTATTAGTGTAGTTGTTGCTACTGTTGTCGCTGTGCACCTCTGTCTGTCTCTGTCTCTCTCTGGTCGAGGCAGACGACAACCCAGCTAGAGCGGGGGGGGCCTGTCCGAGGTTTCTGCCTCTTAAAAGGCACACTATGAAAGATTTTACCTTAATATAACAGCTTAGTTTTCGATGGTTAACAAACTTGTAGTACAGCAATCATCACGATAGCAAAGCTGGAGAGGGACGCCACTGGCAAACCAACATGTGTCTGTGGCGCCCCGCCAAATCTTGCGAGAATCACGAATTGCTTTACGGCGCGACGTCACATACATCAGCAACATAAGAAGCAGCCTCAATGGAAGACACTAGCACTCAGACGTTACCTGGTCAGTAGACATCTTCGGAGTCTATCTTTGCCTGTTCGATGTCCGACGCTTCCATCCTACTGAACATGTGTGTTTTCAGTGTGTTTTTTGCTATTTTTAACTCTTTTCTTACTTTCCTACTACTTTGTTCACGTCGCCTAAATACTTTTGGCGTTTTTGAGCACTTTTTATTTTTTCTTTGCACGGGTCTCGATGGTGACGGGGAGTCGCATTGTTTACACCCGTGACCAGAAGATTGCCCTGAGGTACCCTAGCACCCTAATTGGAGAGACCCTCCATACCGGAGGAGCTGAGGAGGAGACGGCGAGGCTGCAGAGCGGGGGTTAAACGGAGGATGAAGAAGAGGAGGTTTAAACTCTACATCCCTGCAGTCATCACTGGAAACAAACGTGGCTACACGAGCAGATACCGGACTCCAACGTCACCATGCCCGGCTTCCAGATGGTTCGAGCCGACAGGGACACCACCGCGACCAGCAAGAAGAAAGGAGGGGGACTTGCCGTGCTCATAAACAACAGGTGGTGTAACGCCGGGCACGTCTGTATGCAAGTGCGTGTCTGCAGCCCGGACATCGAGCCCGTCGCCGTCGGACTTCGTCCATATTATCTGCCATGGGAACTTTCCAGTGTTATCGCCATCACTGTTAACATTCCTCCGTCTGGGAAAGCAGAAGCAGCGTGTGACGTCATCCACACTGTGACTGCAGGACTACAAACGAAACACCTGGAGGCCTTCATCATCATCACAGGGGACTTCAACCACGTTTCTCTCTCGTCCACACTCCCAAGCTTCTACCAGTTTGTCACATGCACCACCAGGGACAATAAGACCTTGGACCTGCTGTGCAGATGTTCCTGTTTTTTATATCTGTATTTATTTCACTCAAATGTTGCTGTGACAAGTGAATTTCCCCATTGCGGGATTAATAAAGTTATCTATCTATCTATGACACACATAGATAGATGTATGTACGTACGTATGTACGTACCGGTACACAGGGGGGAGGGGATCAGGCTGTGAGTGCAGAGACGCAGAGCCGTATATAGAGACGGCTCTGGTGAGTGGTATTTACGACAGTTAACGTTAAATACAAGTACTCCGCAGCAACTCTAGGGGTAGCTGTTCGACAAAACTGGAAAACTGCATAGTATGCCTTTTAAAAGGAAGTTTTTCCTTGCTCATGGTGGAAATTGTTGGGTCTCTGTAAATAATGTTAGAAGAAGTTTGGTCTAGACCTGCTCTATTTGAAAAGTGTACCGAGATAACTTCTGTTATGAATTGGTGCTATACAGATAAAATTGAATTGAATTGAAATTGAACATGCAGTCATTGTCATGAGTTCTGCTTTTGTTTTCCCTGCTCTCCACCCTCTTTGGAGGTGAGTTCCTGCAAGTAAATCTGAGCACAGCTTAGAAAGTGATACTAAATCCTCCTAAAGCGCCAGGTGCTTTCAGGGGTTGGAGGCAGATTGGTTAAACAGTTGTGATGTACACAACAAAGTAACCATTATACCCCAGCATCCATATGGGCCAGGACAACCAATACTTAAAAATGTACACACAAAGGACAAACCAAGGTGTCCAGGTCCTTCTGGGGACAGGAAGCTACAGTCAGTTAGAGCAGCAACTGTTGGGAGGGCCACTTTGTGTACAGTGTCTTCCTGTACTCTTACTCTTCACAGCAGACTGTGAAAAGCTAATGTCGGCAAGTTAGTAGATATGAATCAGGCTAAAAACTAATAAAATACCCTAAAACTGGATGTCTCCTGTTCGGAGCTGTGGAGTAAATAACAAGCAAAAACGTGATGACTGCTAGCAACTAACTAGCTAAAGCGTCACAAACTCAGGTTACCCACAAGCCCACTTTTCTTAAAGGGTAAGGATTGGCCGGTAATACACTGGTGCAGTCAGGCTGTGGGTGTGCTGGCCAGAGATGGAGGAAGTATTCAGCTCCATTAAGTAAAAGTACTAATACCAACCCCACAATGCAAATACTGCATTCTGAACCTTACTACGGTAGAAGTATTACAGCAGTATTTCTCAAATAGTGGGGCTCGCCCCACTGTGGGGGGCGCAGTGAGGTGTCGGGGGGGCGCGACAGGCAGGGGTGACTGACGGGGGAGGAGAGATGGAGAAGTTTCTGACAGGAGTAAAAAGAAAAACGGAGGAGGCGTCAGAGGCAAGAACAGCAAGTAACGGTAACCGGCATAAACCTATTATGGCCAGGAAATATGACGAAGCCTACATAGCCCTGAATACGGTCGGAAATGAGGAAAGACCTGTGTGTGTTTTATGTTTAAAAACGGCGGACAGCATTAAACCACACAAATTAAGACGGCACTTGGAGACCTTACACCCCAGGTATGTCAATAAGCCACTGGACTTTTTTCATCGAAAGCTCGATGAGTATCGCCAACAGGCCGGTCAATCAGTAAATAAAAAAGCACTGTCATTCAATAATAGCAGAGGAGCTAATACTCCAACAGCATTGGACACTGTCACAATCATAGGTGAGGAAAGTGCTGAGACACTGAATACTGTCCCTCTTTCCAATGACACGATCGGGAGACTTATATTTGACATTTCAGACGACCTCCAAGAACAACTCACAGAACATCTAACAGATAAACGTTAAATATAAGTAATATTGTTGCAAATTTTGCACAAAAAAAACAAATGTTAAAAAGTCATATACCTTTTTGAAAAGGAATAAGCTGATGAAGCTGACAAGTGACCAATGTTTACAGTTTTAAAAAGTTTTGAATGTTACTGTAAAAATGCACATCCCAGTGAATCATTTGCACTTTTTTCTCTGTTTTGAGAATCACACAGACTGAGCAGTCTTGTTTAAATGTTACAAATTGAGTTAATAAACTTGAACTTGGAAATTGTTTTTAGTTGTTGCAGATGTTATCTCAGCTCATTTTATCAATCCATTTAGATAATCAGGTGATTGTATGCAGAATGCTGGTGCTAGCAACTCATACAGTGGTTTGTACAGATAAATAAATAAATATCAGTTTCTCAATAGTATTAAAATTCAGAGGGGGCGTGAAAGAATGTCTGTCCTCTAGGGGGGGCTTGACAGAAAATAATTGAGAACCACTGTATTACAGCAACATTTACTCAAAAAGGATACTGTGCAGTAAAAAGGTCCCCGTCAGTGATTTACTATGATATATGATGTTTTTGGACTAATGCTGCATTAATGATGCTTTTTACTTTTTCGCTTTTTTACTGCTGTATTAAGGTTTTTTATATACTATACACTGATCAGCCATAACATTATGACCACCTACAGTCCCACACCAACAAACTGTGATGCTCTGTGTGTTCTGACACCTTTCTATCAGAAACAGCATTAACTGTTTCAGCAGTTTGAGCTACAGTAGCTCGTCTGTTGGAACCGACCCCACGGGCCAGCCTTCACTCCCCAGGTGGATCTGTGAGCTCTGGCCGACCATTGACCACTGCAGACCGGGAACCCCCCACAAGAGCTGCAGTTTTGGAGATGCTCTGACCCAGTGGTCTAGCCATCACAATGTGGCCCTTGTCAAAGTCGCTCAAATCCTCAAGCTGCCCTTTTTCCTGCTTCTAACACATCAACTTTGAGGATAAAATGTTCACTGGCTGCCTAATTTATCCCACCAAGGTGCAATGATAACCAGATAATCAGTGTCATTCACTTCACCAGTCAGTGCTCACAATGTTAAAGCTGATCAGTGTATAAACTAGTTTTGTTGCCCTACATTTGGCCTTGATTCCCCAATAAGTTTGTATCTGTCAAAGGCCAAAGTGGCCTCGCCTTAAAACTGACTTAATTCCAGTAATTCCAGGTTACTGGTTGTTTACCTGTTGTTACTAATTTCTGTAGTGGGATTCGGCTAAATAGCAGCCAAATTAGAGGGCAGCTGTGGCTCAGAGGCAGAGCGAGTCGTCCACTAATCTTGTTGGTTTGATCCCCGGCTCCTCCCGCCACATGTCGAAGTATCCTTGAGCAAGATACTGAACCCCAAATTGCTCCTGATGCATCGGTGTGTGAATGTGTATGAATGAGTTAGTTTCTGTTTGATGTGGCACGTAGTGTAAAAGCGCTTTGAGTGGTCGGAAGACTAGAAAGGCGCTATACAAGTACAGGTCCATATACCGTTTACCAAATTACAACAAGAAGAATAAGACTACAGTAACTCTATTTATCTCCAGGTGTGTTTAGAGTGATGTATGCAAATAAACAGAACAACAGTGTGCTTTTAATTGTGTATGTATGCCTGTGCAGAGCTATTTTTGTTTAAAAAATTGGTTGTGTTTAAGGTGGCACAGTCTGTTCCCTTAACTAAAACAGGATCCAGTTACAGCTCCGCCTGACTGCAAAACACACACGCGCGCACATGCACACAGAGCATGTCTCTCATGTTTTGATAACAATGGTTGGATCCAAGCCCCAGCTCAGGTGAGGGTTACAGAGAGTGTGTGTGTGTGTGCGCACTCACAATCTGCAGTTTGATGGTCTTGCCATCCAGCTCAATGGTACGGATCTTGAAGTCCACTCCGATGGTGCTGATGTAGCTCTCTGTGTAGGTGTCATCCTGCGGTTAGAGCGAGGAAGAGGAAGATGGGGTCAGGCCAACAACAGAATGAGGAAAGGCCGTTGGAAGAGAAACATTCAGAGGCTCACAGTAATAAAGAACGTCTTTTAAAAGAGGGCAAGGTGACTACTTACAGCAAAGCGCAGCAGGAGACAGGACTTTCCCACTCCGGAGTCTCCGATGAGCAGAAGCTTGAACAGATAGTCACTGAAAGGAAAAAACAATCCAGGTCAGAACAGGGACCACCTTTCTAACCTCTAACCTCTACAGTGTTACAGCTGATACAAAGAGTAATTAATGACTGTGACTGAAGCCACACACTTTTCTCTTAAGTCAGACTGGGTTGACATTTTTTAATACCAGTAACAATAACCATATCTGAATGAACAATACTTTATACTGTACTTCGCTAATTATATTTTTAAAAAGCAAAAAGCCCTACCTAGAGCCAGGTTTGTTTGATCTGGGCTACTGTAGAAACATGGTGGCGGAACTCTGGAGATAAAAGCGACTCATTCTAAGGTAACAAAAACGTAACGATTCTTATATTTCAGCTGCAATCCTCATCATCCGATGGAGTTAGATTAGATTGTTAAATGGCTTGTGTTCAATGAAATTATCATACAGCATTTCTAAAACCAGAGAGTGGATTGATTGGAGGGTTATTAAGGGCCTAAAAGTGCATTTGTGCCCTGGGGCCCTCCAGCAGGTTCATCAGGCCCTGGAACTATGAAACTCTTTGATTTTAGTGCCCATACCTGGCCTGAAGCCCAACCTTATTTTGAGAGGTATAAACATGTTTTTCTATTGAGGTTTGATACTCACTCCTGCATGTTCTTCCAAAACATCCCCTGCCCTCCACCCCCCACCCATCCCCACCCAATCACTGACAGGAAAAACATCACATGAATTTGACACACAGCACCAACAGCTGTAGAGAATTGCCCAATGCCACTGCTATTCTTGTGTCAAAGGAAACTGAGACCTGTCGCGTATCGCAGCCTGACACTGATCAACTGACAATATCTTACCAACACTTGATGTAACAGCACTGTTGCAATCAGCCCAGTTCACATTTCTACAGCCAAGCAACAACCTCTGTGGCTGCAAACAAAGTCAACACGGAAGTACCAAAAACTGCAGTTCCTCTAACAGCCACTTGAGGCTGTCTCCAGCAGTGGGTCAATCTCCATAGGGTCCCATATTAAAATGCCAAACTTTCCAGCAGAAATATATTGACAGCCTGGTACATAAAACTGTTCAGGTCTCTATAGCTAATTTTACCGTTAATGACAACTGTACGTGGGGTGAATCTTTATAGAACCTACCCATATAAATCATATTAAGGCTTAACGGTAGGGGTGGGCGATATGGGCAAAAAATAATATCTCGTTATTTTTGGGGATTTTGGTGATAACGATAATCAGTCGATATCCTTTAAAATGTGATTGGAATTGTCTGAGTTAGGGCTTGTGTCCACCAAACGCGTTTTTAGCGCTGAGAGCTCAAAAACTCATTTTCCGAGCGCCCAGCGGTGTTAAAAGTTGAACAGATTTCAACTTGAAGCGCTCTGAGCACTGCGCTAAAAAAAACATCCCTGCATCTTTTTACCGCTGAAGGCGCTTAGTGCTCTGAACGCTGAAGCTCATAGGATTTGTATTCAACATAGGCGCTGCTAGCACTAAAAACGTGTTTGGTGGACACAGACCCTTATCAGTCTTTTCGAAACTAAACCATTTCCATGCCAGAGAGGTAGACCCACGTCTCGGCACTAAATCATCTGAAGTACCGGTAGCTTCAGGGACTGGAGGTGTTTGCATTTTCTCTCTACCATCACAACGCGCTGCTAAACTGTTGCAAGGGAGATGCTAGCGAGAGGTCATGTGATCACGCCATGTGATCACGTGAGGCCCACTAGTGGTGTGACTGAATCCTGCCATGCTGTAGAGAGAGTTGCTGCACCGTGTATTAAGTGGATGTGAGGAGTTTCCACGTGCGTTTCAATATTTTTGGCGAAGTAATTTAAATACTCCATAATGGAAATTTGCACATCATCAAAACAACAATGACGATATTATCACAAACGATATATATCGCCCACCTCTACTTAACGGTACACATAAATAAAGGCGACTGCTTTGGGTGACAGATTTTCAGTAACCAGGTTTCATTCAGTCTGCCTCAGCCCCAAGCTGCATTTTTGGATTAGTTGAGAGCCAGCGGACTCAGGACTGCCAAATTATACAGTCTATGGGTAGCTAAGTGACGCAAAATAGGCAGTTAAACTGTCATCGTGGCAACATTAATAGCTTTGACTGCCAGATAAGTAGGGCTACAAGTTTCAGTTTTAATATAAAAGTTGACTTTTTCTGTCACATTACTTTTTCTTCAAAAACCTTTTTTCATTTTACAAAAGGAGCCACAGTTCTCAAATGTTAAATGTTGTCCAAAAGAACTTTGACCAAATAAAATAATGTAAAATTGGCAAAATTACATTTGAAATCAAGAACTATCTGATCTAAGTAATCAAGATTATGACCAGAGATTTGAAACCAGCTTTTGGTACTAAAATAAGCAGAGCAATGCTAATGTAAAATTCACAGTTGCAGGCTGTCAAAGATTCATCATATATAGAGCAGGCAGGTAAGGAACCTCAATACCTGCTTAGTACAGACTGAATTGGTCTATATTATGATAATCTGAATCATAATTTCAGATTTAAAGCTTTAATAGATGGACTAGCAGATGCTCAGCAGCCTTTCTCACAAAGAGTGTGATCAAATGATTGGTTGGATAGGGGTTTGCTTGATTAGCTTATGAGCGGGTTAAAAAGGAAAAGAGGGTGTCACACTGGAGGAGGATAAACACCAGTCAAACAGATTTTTGTACAACCTAGCAGCCCAAAAGGTGGTCTTTTAAGCTGCTTACAACGACTCTATAAAGCATTCGTAAATGTTTTGTCAATAAGCCTGTCACAATCATTTACAAGATAGCTGAATGTTGCGAATGAGATTCAAAAATCAACTATCTTTCTTTGCCTCCGACCCGAAGCGTCTTCCTGTTTTTCAGGCCTGGTGGATTCTTGCAAGTGCCACAAGGAGAACCCCGAGGAACCTGATTTTTTCACAGATAATCTGTCTCATGTACTACTGTCAGCAGTGTTTCCTCTATGTTGATTTTGCCGCCACGGTATCAGAAATGGGGCAGACGCACAATGTAGTCCCGGTTGCCTTTTAAATGATCCTGCCGACATAATGCACCCCCGTTGGCTGCTGCTCACATTGCAATTTAACAACAACGGATGGGCCTGCCGCCGCTGCTAAAAAAAATCCTAGAGGAAACACTGGTCAGTACATACTGAAAGTTTCAGGGAATATGACAAAAAAGTTATTTTTATAAGTTGCTTACTGCAGCTTTTAAAAACCAGTAAAAACACTGAATAAAGCAGTTCCACATTAAAAATAACTGTTTCTCCCACACGGTTCTCTAACGTTAGCTCAGCTTGTTTCTCTGATAACTTAAGATCCAGACGTCCTATAACTAAAATCCTTCATCTGGTTCAAATCTAGAGTTAAAAGGCACCAAGATCTAAACAGTGGATGGTAACAATGTGGCTTCAGACTGGATAAACAGTCAATGTATGACAGCTTCTGGCAGACAACCACAACACTGACGCAGGCACAAAGGGGATATGACGCCATTGACAGGCGACCGGTGAAACACAGCGTTACCTGAATAAAATGACAGATTTCTTTTCAACATTGTTGGAAACATTTGGGATAATGGAAGTACACAACTCAACTACATATAGAACATAGAGCTGGAGTTTATAGACAGTTTAATGCAGGAATGTTACAGATTAAACCCTTTATAAAAGTGACACCAAATCTTTGAAGATGGATAACCAGCCTAAATAAAGTGCACTTCCACGCCTACCAACATGCAATGTATAATCATAGGCAATATTAAGGCATATTTAACCAGAGACAGGATTCTACAGTATGTGTAAACATATGGCGAAATAAAGACTGTCTGCTAAGGGTGTGGAAGTGTTAGCTTAGCTTGTAAGACAAGCTTTCACAAGGATTCAAAGGGCTCTCGGCAGCTGGGACATTTCAGCACCGACTGTTGACAGTACGTCTTACAAACCGAGCGAGGGATTCGGTGACAAGCAGGTGTCCTCTCATTTCTGGGCTGCAGGTCAAACATCTGCTACCTGTCGTATCGTCTAACATTAACTCCAACATGCTCCACAGCAGAGAGGAGCCAATGTGGGCATTTTATCGGCAAAATTATAAAGTAGGTAAAACAGCATTCAAAAGCAGGGGCCTGATAACCAGATTTAAAGTCGGCACCAACCTTATGAAATAAATCTACAAATAAATGATATGCAAATAGTTGCTCTTAATCCAGGTAGTAAAAGGAAAGGTATTTCTAAAAACTGAAAATGTACAAACCGATATCTTTCATTTATGGCAGATTTAGGGCAGGCTTGGGGAGTAACAGATTACATGTAGCTGAGTTACATGATCAGAAAACAAAAAATAAATTTACATTTAGTAAAAATGGGCAATATTAAGCGGGATTTCAATTTTAAAATACAGCCGTTTTTCTTAAATACACTAAACAGAGGACATATTTTTTCCATTTCCATCTTCTTTTCAAAGGTTGCATTGTTCTGTTGTCTTATAGAACACACTCACATCAATACTTCTTATTGAAATTTATTTTCTCTTGTCTTTATTTACATGTAATTTATTACATTACTTTAATATTATGATGTTTGGATGAGGATACTGGCTACATTTTTAAACAGGTCCGATTTTTATCGGATAAGTAACCCTTTCCAACCCTTAGTATAGTATGCACCTGTGTCTATACAGACGGCAACTGTGTCCATATGAAAAAAACAACAGGCTACAGGTCAGCCGTAACATATCTGTACTGCACTACTTCACGTTAGCTAAGGCTATTCGTTTCCTTTCTGGTATGCAGAGCAGGTTACAGCGTTTCCTGTGAACGTTTCGTACTCTCGTTTCAAACACTGCACTTTTCGTCTGTTTGTCCCGTGAAAGGTCGCGTGCCACAGCCGACACGGTGAGGCACGAGCGAGCTGTCAGCTGACGTTGAGAGAAAACACGTTCGCGAGACTGTCACATTAAAGGAGCTGTCCGCGCCCTGTTCGCGAGCTAGCTGGTGTTTGCCAATGAATTTAACCACAGAACAATTAGCCTAGCATTATTTACATAAGGGTACGCCATATAACCGCATATAATTACGGTTTCTAGCTTAACACGGCAGTGACCGCCTTACAATGGAGCACAATTAATGGAAGGTTAAAACTCACTATTCGGGATTCATGGTTTCACTCTGGACGTATTTTTCTGTCGGCGACTCGACTCTTCCTTCCTACTCCGGTCAAAAAAGATGACTTGTAACGTTAGGTCCTGGTATTCGAGGCACTTAGATCGCTGTTTTACCGTCTCCGTTACTGTCCACTGTATTCAACCTTTACTGTTTCATATGTACTTGGTTCTAGCGGACATATCCCTGTTTCCTCAGGCTGAGCTGCTCTATTTTACTCCTTTTTTCTGCCTTTCTGTGTCCGTTGCTTGCTATAGGCTCAAGATGGCTGCGCAGGTGCGGTAGTGACGTGGAATGACGTGTCACTACTTAAAAAGCCGGACAAATCTAGAATTAGAGAAGTGCTGGGATTTGTAGTTTAGTATAAAGAAAACAGTTTACAAACACGACATAATATTTTATTTTTATTTGTCTTACTAATCTGTATATATATATATATTTTACACTTGCTTTAGCAATGTAAACGTCTGTCTCCCATGCCAATAAAGCCCATTTCAATTGAATTGAATTGAATTGAATATACACAAGCCTGCATTCAGATAACAGAATATACCGTTTCACGGTAAATGTTATTAATTATTAATTTTTTTCAAGCAACTGCATTGTTAATATTTAAAATCACATGTAAAAAGTTAAACTTGTGCCATCAAGTAAAGTTTTTGTGTTTTTCTAGATGAAAACTCATCATTAAAAATTAAATATATGTACTTTTATAGTCTAAATCTCACTTTGCAACAGATTTTGTTGGGCTTTTCTAAAAAAACACATGGAAACTGTCACAATATCTTACTATTAGAATTAGTCATGATCCAGTATAATTATACAACTTTCAGACACAAACCCCACATTTGATAATGTTCTTACCGCACTGTGAATTTCATCCATATTGCTGTCAAAGCTAAAGCCCTGGAAGTCAGCATTTACAGGCTCAAGAATGCAACAATAGTTTCATAAACGACCATTGGTGCCAGAAAAAAAAAAAAAACTGAATGTTAGGAATGACACAAAATACTGTTAGGTCTAAATTAATGTTACAATTATTAGATAATAAGTCTTAATTATGAGATGGTAAATTAAAATGTTGATCTTTTGAATGAAAATTATTAGATCATTTTGACTTACTGCATAATCATCATAATTATGACATCAAAAGACAGAATTCTATACACACATACAACATTTCTGTCTCTGTCACACACACAGTTCATGTTCACTTTAATACAGAATTACATATTGTAAATTATTTTTAGTGATTGTCATTCCCTTTATCTGTTGAGTCAGTTATATACTTAAGATAGCCATCTACTTCCACATCCTCATCTCTGGCTGCAGCAGCACCCACGGGAGAGGGCAGGTAGACATTTTCCCATCTTCCCCCAGAGTCTGTCTGTGGATCCTGAGAGGCAGCTGCAGCTGCAGCAGCAACCTCCAGGCCTAGGTTGATGTAGCTGGCCTCCTGGCTGGCCTCCAGAACCGGCAGCTCCGACAGAAGACCTTTCAGTGTCTCACACAGTTCCCTGAAGCCGGGCCTGCGGGCCGAATCCTTGTCCCAGCAGCTCCGCATGACTTCATAACTGTGTTTGGGGTGAGATGGAGGAGGCAGGGTGAGGTTGATGCAAAAGAATATTCCCTATAGCAATGGCTTAAAACAAAGCGTGACCCATTGTTAAAGGTTTCATATATCTATGAGTTGTGAGTGTTTTAACCAAAGTAACCAGCTTCAAAATGTGAAAATGTCCTCTCAACATAGACTAGCCTAGCACATAGCATATCTAAGCTATGGAAAGGACATAGTTGACAAAGGTTCTGACCGAGGCTTGCTTAACTTTTATTGGAGCAAGGGCGTTTCCAGGCTCTTTGGACAGGAGGGCACAAATGGGGCACTGACTTATGCAGGGGTGGCATGAAATATGTATCTCAGATTTCCAGTACTGTTTATGGACCCCAGTAGGCAGAAATATTCAAATACATTAAGTAAAAAAAAATAACACATTTTATTCAACATGCAAAATACTGCTTTTTGCCCAACAACTGCATGGGATTAGCATAGAGTGGGCAAAGGAGGAGAGACCCATAGAACGCATTTTCATTCAGATATCTTGAGGTCAGAGGTCAAGGGATCCCTTTCAAAATGGCCATGCCAGTTTTTCCATCACTAAAATTTTGCCTACCTTTGGAGCATTATTTAGCCCCCTTCCATGCTAGCATGACATGGTTTGTACCAATGGATGAGTTAAATCTTCTAGTTTTATATGATAAATTATACCAGCAGTCACTCTAGCTTCATAATAAAGCCCGCTGCAGCCTCTGAAAGACAGTGCAGAGTGGAAGAGGTAAGGCAAAAGAATATTCTCTCATCAAAATACAGAATGAGAAATGTCCCTGAACAAGCACAGGAACTCACAGTTCCTGGTCACAGTCCTCAGGTGGTTTGAGCCTGTGTCCGGACAGCAGCAGGTCCAGCAGCTCATGGTTGTGAACTCCAGGATAGGGGGTCCTTCCCCGGGACACAATCTCCCACATGGTCACCCCAAACGACCACTGAAAGGACAGGGGCAAGATAACATAGTAGAAATTCAGACCCTCAGTAAATAAAGAAATTAGAATCTAATCTCAACTTTAAAAGCTGTATACTGTTTACAGAGACAGCTCTGGTTAAAGTTAATAATGACCTTCTGATTGCTTCTGACAATGGACTTGTCTCTGTACTTGTATTATTAGATCTTAGTGCTGCATTTGACACCATTGACCATGATATTCTTTTACAGAGATTTGAGCATCAAATTGGCATTAAAGGAACGGCACTAAGCTGGTTTAAGTCATATTTATCAGATCGCTCGCAGTTTGTACATGTTAACGATGAATCTTCAATAAATACTACAGTTAGTCATGGAGTTCCACAAGGTTCTTTACTTGGACCAATACTATTTACTTTATCGTCTCGCAGGTTCTTATCGATCCTGGTGGAGCCTCCTGCCATGGTCCTGCTAGATTGCGATTGCCAATACTGTTGTTGCTGTGCACCTGTCTGTCTGTCTGTCTCTCGCTCTCTCTCTCTCTCTCTCTCTCTCTCTCTCTCTCTCTCTCTCTCTCTCTCTCTCACCCCAACTGGTCGAGACAGACGACCACCCACCTAGAGCCGTAGGATCTGTCCTAGGTTTCTGCCATTTAACAGGCAGTTTTTCCTTGCCCTTGTCGCCATGTGCTTGCTCATGGTGGTACTGTTGGGTCTCTGTAATTAATGTTTTAAAGAGTTCGGTCTAGACCTGATCTATTTGAAAAGTGTCCTGAGATAACTTCTGTTATGAATTGGCGCTATACAAATAAAATTGAATTGAATTGAATTGAATTTATCATGTGACTGTCTTGATGTTCCACACTAAACTTACCACGTCACTTTTGGCGGTGTAGACTGACTCAGACAGGCTCTCCATGGCCATCCACTTGATTGGCACACGGATAGCTACTTTCTGACGATAATAATTGCTGCTGTAGATTTTCTTGGACAAGCCGAAATCAGCCACACACACCCTGAGGTCATCACCCAGCCTGTGGATTAAAAATATATAAATCAGCACAGGTATGGCAACACTCTCTGGAGTCAGAGTAAGTTTTTATATAACCATCTCCTCTGTGGCCCTCAGTGTGCTTTATAGAAATTTTATGCAGCTTCCTTCCCCAGATACGAGCCATGGCTGAATACCAATAAGACAGAGGACAGAGACACAGTCTTATATGAACAAGGAGTCCTTGATTTCAAGCCACCGCCCCCAGTGTCTCCCTCTGATGGACTCACATGCAGTTGCGTGCGGCCAGGTCTCTGTGCAGGAACCCTTGCGAGCTCAGATAGTCCATCCCTGCTGCAATGTCAATCATGAAGCGCAGGAGACTCTGATGAGGCACAAACTGGAAGAGAAGGTTGAAATTTGTATATTCTGTCTTCTAATAATTGAGTTGGGTTTTTTTGCATTTTGCTTTATTGACAGGACAGTAGAGAGACAGACAGGAGAGGCAGGGGACAGTCGATATGGATTTTTTTCAGCTAATAACCGATAATTACCTGCTTCTCATGCCAATACAGATAAGATCATTTCTCATTTTTCTGTTTTAAAAAGAAGAATCTGGAGCAGTTGGCAGCCAATAAACAGTGTCTGGGGACCAATTCCTACCCAGGACCCTCTTGCTGTGTTGACCACTGATCCACTGTGCTGGCCATTTTATTATTTTGAGTCATTAAACTATATAAACTCTGTTCTATATGTAATTGAGTTGTGTACTTACATTATCCCAAATGTTTCCAACATTGTTCAAACTCAGAGAAATCTGTCATTTTATTCAGGTAACGCTGTGTTTCACCGGTCGCCTGTCACTGGCGTCATATCCCCTTGGTGCATATTTTTACCATCCACTGTTTAGATCTTGGTGCTTTTTACAAACAAACAAGATGAAGGATTTAAGTTATTGGATGTCTGGATCTTAAGTTATCAGAGAAACAAGCTGAGCTAACCTTAGCAGCAGCTCGGCTCGCAGCCCCTCCTGTTTCTCTTACGCTGTTGCCCTTAGCTTAGGAGAAGCAGTAATTTTTAAGGTGGAACTGCTTTATTCAGTGTTTTTAGTGGTTTTAATCAGCGGGTCTGTTTGTTTTGGAGAGGAGGAGACCTCTGTGGATAATTGGGCTCATGGTAGAAACCTCCTGAACCATGAATACTGAAGGAATCCTAACTGGGAGAAGCTGACTGCAATGACAACAATGGGGGTGAAGACAACAACTGCCATGATCCCATGCTACTTCATCAAACTTCATCTTTTCAGCTGTTACTTTTTCCCTTTTAAAAGATGTTCACATTAGCTAACATTACTGACAGAGACAAGTGTTTGCTTTGGAAGCACTGCCTCCTCATTCATTTGGATGAGGCCACGGCGTTAGCACTACAGGGGTTCACATACATAGCTACAGCATTTTTACAAGGCATTTTGTTTGACCAAATACATGCAAGCGCACATCCCTGATGGCTGTCAGCATGATGACTTCACAGAGTTGTAAAACACTGTTTGATAGCATAATAAACTGCAGTGCAATATTTTGTTGGTGTCTGATCAGCCGTAAAACTGTCTGTCCTGGCTTGAACTCTTTTGCTAGTCTCTGAGCCTTACCATCAGTGTGTGCTCAGAATCTTTCAATGCAATCTGCCAATGACTCTGATTATGAGATATCTTTGTCCTGAGGGCTATGGAGACAATGGGAGAGTCTAAAATGAAAAAGGTTCATCTTCTGAGGAGCATAAATGTGCTCAGTAAATATCATGATTTTGATATTTAAAGTGTGCAGGATTTGGTGGCATCTAGATTGCAACGATTTGAATACACCTCAGCCTTCCAAGTGTGTAGGAGAAACTACAGTGGCCATAAAATGCAAAAGAAAATGTAGAGGTCACTAAAACATTTGGATTCTTCCTCTATGGATCCAGTAGTTGCACAGATACCTTGTTTACAAGCTCTCTGGTTGTCCGACCATTCGTGTTTCTTGCCCTGTTGGACTTACTTTTAGCAATTACTTGAGTACAGTGTAATTATAACCAATAGAAAGGATGGCCACAGTTGTAATAAACGGAATTGTTCTTTATGCTGTTTGTCATGAGAGAATTCACTCTAGAATCAATTCTCTATGGGAGTCAAATGTCAGTGTGTCATGGTAAACATGTGCTCACATTCCCCCATTTATGTACATGCATGTGCTGACTGCATCTTACCATAGGAATATCGCCATAGCGTGTAGCAATGAGGAAGCGTCGCAGGTCTCCGTGTTTCATGTAGGGCAAGATGACCAGGGGAACAGGCAGAGGAGAGTCCTGCTCCCTCTGTAAAGTGACCCCTGCAGGACAAACAAATACACATCTTTCATTAGGTTGCTGCTGCAGTAGATCAAGGAGGACATTCATATTGGACATCAGAGATCATCATTGAACAGAGAAAGGGGTTGCTATGTCCCCCTGCATACAACCGCCTGTTATCACATACGAAGGTCCACATTTAGATCATGTGAAGACACCTGTACCATCTGTATTTGCTAAATGAAGACCAAAAGATGTGGTTGAAAGCTCTGAAAGGTAGTAAATGAACATTTAAGTTTAGGTCAGCTTGAATATATGCTGTGGAATCAAGCAGGTCTTTTGATATTGCTGTTGAATCAACTGACTGCACTGATAGTACTGCAATTCCCACTGCAAATCAACAGCCCACTGCAAATTGTCTCTGCAGCTTTCATCCACTTTTACCTTAGGCTTCGGTTTGCTAGTCTGTATGGATTACCCCCACTTTGAGCTCAGGTGAGTCCTGAACCATCCCTTAGTTATGCTGCTCTAGGCCTAGACTATCAGGGGTTTTCCCATGATGCCCTGAGCTCCTCTCTTCCTCTCTCTCTCTTTCTGCACACATTCATGTTCCATTCAAGGGAAACTTCGGCAGATTTTTACCCGAGTCTTGATCACTAGATGTCATGAGTACTGTCGATAGGAAAAACAATGCCCTTACATGACAACAACATGCGTTTTCAAGTCATACATTGTGCAGAAACCGTTTAAATTCAAAGTTTACAAGTACTGACACCTACCTGTTTTTCTATCGCCCGCTTCACCGAAAGCCCAGAAGAGTCGATCACGAGACTCGCGCTGAAGTCCCGTGCTAATTCAGTTGTTGCAGGAAGTTGTAGTGTGCAGATCGGAGCGTAGTGTGTGAAGACATTGACATTTTTGAGGGGGAAACAAACTTCAAGTTTTCGTCGCTAAGGCATGACCTCCATGATCGACTCTTCTGGGCTTTCAGTGAAGCGAGCGATGGAAAAACAGGTAGGTGACAGTACTTGTAAACTTTGAATTTAAATGGTTTCTGCACAATGTATGAGTTGAAAACACATGTTGTTGTCACGTAAGGGCCCTGATCATGTTGCACAGACATTTTAATTGCATTTTGTGTCTGTTAAGAGGAGCAAAAGGCACTCTTTAGGATATGCCCCCAAAAAGTGTATTATAACTAAGTGGGAGCTCTGGCCATTAGCTGCAGGAACTCCAGTTTGCTAGCACCGGTTTTGGTCGTTGTTTTTCCTTTCGACAGTACTCTAAGACTCGGGTAAAAATCTGCCGAAGTTCCCCTTTAATGCATGTTACTAACTTCACTTCTTCCCCGGAGTTCTTGTGCTTTCTCGTCTTGCAGGTTCTCATGAATCCTGGTGGAGCCTCCTGCCATGGTCCTGCTTGACTCCTTTTGCTAATATCACTGATATTATTGTTATTATTATTATTAATATTATTATTACTACAGATACTATTATGACTATAAGCACTGCTCATTGTCCGCCATTGTTGTTGTCGTCGTTGTCATTATTTTCTTCATCACCAGTCACTACTATTAGTGTAGTTGTTGCTACTGTTGTTGCTGTGCACCTTTCTCTCTCTCTCTCTCTCTCTCTCTCTCTCTCTCTCTCTCTCTCTCTCTCTCTCACCCCAACTGGTCGAGGCAGACAACCACCCACCAAGAGCCGAGGGGATTGTCCAAGGTTTCTGCCTCTTAAAAGGAAGTTTTTCCTTGCCACCATTGCTAAGTGCTTGCTCATGGTGGGAATTGTTGGGTCTCTATAAATAATGTTATAAGGACTAGACCTGCTCTATTTGAAAAGTGTCCTGAGATAACATCTGTTATGAATTATCGCTCTAAAATAAAATTGAATTGATTTGAATTGAATTTCAGGTGCACACCTCCTTTGAAAAACATGACCAACAAACAAGTCAGAATCAACCTCTTCTCTCAATACATATGCCAACCCACTCCAAAACTAAACAAGTGACCAGCATGCAATGGATTCTGGGATACTGCAGACAGCCAAAGACACAGAAAACATTATTATGTTATGTCCTAAACATTTCATTGGACAGTTAAGCATTCGAGTAGCGAATTAGGTAGTATGTCTTACCGACTAGTCTGACCACATTTTCGTGATCAAAGTTTTTCATGATCTCTGCCTCTCTCAAAAACTCATGCAAGTCTTCCTGGCTGTGGATTCCAACTAGGTGCATGGAACATAGAAAAATGACAAAAATAAGAAGTAGCAGAGCAGAGTTCTGATCAAGGTTTTGAGTTTCAGTACAAACCTCTCATGGTCTTCACAGCTACCTTGATGTCCACACCTTCGTCTGATGTATAGACCCCTTCATAGACTGAGCCAAACTCTCCTGCAGAACAGAGCAAAAACTAATTTTATCACTCTACTCTCACTTTACTTTTAACTAGAATATGTTTTAAATAATGATTGAATTTGATTGATGAAACAATGGTTTTCAATGCCCTGAAGTCTGGCCTCTGATTTTATCTATCAATAACCTTGTTGATGGTGTACTAGGGTGTAGTATAGCTAAAGAAATTAACTAATGTGGTAAACCTGCGGACTCATGGGTTATACTGTATTATCATATCATTAAAAGAAATATATTTTTGCACCTGGTTCTAGCATTGAAAAACCTGAAAGCATCTCACAAGTTCAGTTCTAGCCATGGTTCTGCATGGCTCTAGGGGATAGCAATGCCAATCTCTCCACAACTCTGGTCCACACTAGTACCACAGCAACACTTGGACGAAGTGTCCAGGCCAATATGTGGTCATTCGTGGTTTCTAGAGGACAAATCCTAAAGACTTTGTTGATTACCTGACAAGTGCAACGAACAGATCAAAGTTTTTACTCATCCAGTGACATTTCTATATTTACTTGATTGATTGGGACAAAATTTTGGTTAGGGTTCCCAGGTGATGTATCTGGTGACATTTGTGGTCTACAGTGAAATGTCTCCACCACTATTGGATAGATTGCCATTAAACTTGATACCGAGTTATATTCCCTATGGGATGAATTGTTATAATTTTGGTGATCCCCTTTTCATTTTCATCTAGCGCCATCATTAGATCAAAATTTCAGTTTGTCGAATACTTTGGTTAATGACCAAAAACTTGGTCTATGTTATAACTAATGACATTTCCTTCAGCTTGAGAAATTAAGTCCAGCAAGGAACTTTATCAGTTGACAGAACACTGATATTGGACAATTATGCAAATCACCAGATTTTGTTCTATAGTTTCCTAAATCACTTCTTTCTATAGTTTCATTCTATAGTATGTTGCATAGCAGTATGGTTAGGGAAAATACCATGGTTATGACAAAGGAACCACAGTTAAGGTATGGTTAAGATCAGGTCAGTGCCTGAATTGGCCAAAAAAAAGGTGCCAGTGCCCATATTCAGAACCCAACCCTAACTCCACTTCTTCTGCCGTTTTTTATGCATTTCAACAAGGACATTCTTAGCCCATTTTTCATAAAAAATCACTCCTTATGACAAAATCTAACCAACCAATACAACGAAGGCAGCAAACACTTGCCAAATCAGAGGCAGAGTCAAACTTAATTTTTAAGTTTTAAGTTAAAACCGTTTCTTTTCACCTGTGACAGCCCTGAAAGGCAAGTCAAAACATTTTGGATCATTTCAAATGTTTGTTGTTCTAATATTCATTTTGACCACAGGAGGACCACTATCGCTATGTTCCAAACAGGACTATAAGCATTCATGTTTTCTTCAATGTGAGTTTTGTTGTTTCCATGCACTCAAAACCAGGAGGTGGCAGTACGCAATAAGAAATGAGGCTGCTCATGTGGACACAAATCACAAGTGGCATTCAGACAGAGGATTGGGCAACAGAAACACTTACATTTTGGGAAAGATTTTTAAAAGCATGGAGATGGTACATGAAGTGCTGCTCTCTGGCATTACATTCAAATGCACTACATTCCCATCCACCATGCCAACATCCACATCCTTACTTCTGCTTTGCTTCATTAAGGGCGTACTGCTTCTTGCATTGGCACTGGACTGCAGAATGCTCAAATATAAAAGTAACCCCTGGGTGCTTTATCAAAATTAGGTTGGTGGTCCTGCGTTGTGAGGCTAAGACAGAATAATTGTTGATGAGGAATCATGAGTTGACCTCTGCCAAGCTCCTTGCCCAGGGTGAGCTTGTCTCTCTCCACAAGGACCTCTTTAAGACTGGCCAGCAGCCTGCCACTGAGCCCCTCCAGCAACTGGACCACACCTTCCCCCACTGAAACACATCAGGAAATCAAAGGATTCACATTAAACAGGCTTAACCTTTTAGCAGAGGCTGTTCTTCCTCAAATACCCACATGAAGGAAAGGCCTAGGTACCCCATATAGTTACTTTATATTATTATTATAATATTATATGTGTCTTTGTCATTAATTAAATGCAAAAACATCTGAATATATGTAAGTGCACATATTCACAACAGTTGAAGTTTTTTAAATCCACTCATTCAGGTCATTAATAAATGAAGAAGGCTACGGTGGCCGCAAACGGCAAAACGCTTCAAACACGGGAATGATGCAAACCCAAAAACACACAAACACATAAAACAAATGCAACAGAAAAATGCAGCAACAGAAAAATGCTGCAATCACAGAACCGGAGCAGAAGCACAAAACAAAAAAAATGCTGCAAATTACAAAAACACACAAAACCCCAAAACAACTCCAAGAGATAAACGCTGCAAATTCACTTGACAAAACTGAAGTGCGCCAGGCCACTAGGGGGACCCGACCTGGGGATGGACCTTTCCTCTGGGACCAGGCCCGAAGGACATGAAGAAGAAGAAGAAGAAGAAGAAGAAGAAGAAGAAGAAGAAGAAGAAGAAGAAAGTTGGTTAAGTTTTGGAGAGGAGAGTAAAAAGGTAAGTTTTCCTTTATGTCTTTTTTAAACACTTGGCCGTAATCTTTTATAATATAATAATATTATATCATCCATCATATCAAATCATATTAAGTATTAATATGATTTAATATTATAATATAATATAATATAATATTATAAAAAATAAAATAAAATATTATATATTTTTATAATCCTTTAATAATTATATTATATTTTTATAATAATATAATTTTTACTTCAGTTTTGTCGAGTGAATTTGCAGCATTTTTTTGTTGCATTTGTTTTGTGGGTTTGTTAGTTTGTGCTTCTGCTCCGGTTCTGTGATTGCAGCATTTTTCTGTTGCTGCGTTTTTCTGTTGCATTTGTTTTTATGTGTTTTATGTGTGTTTGTGGATTTGCATCATTCCTGTGTTTTGCCGTTTGCAGCTTGTTTGCCCTTGTCGGCCACCGTAGAAGGCAGATGGAAAAAAAAAAAATTCCATTTAAGAATTGCCCTTACTTTGAAAGTTAAATATTTCTAGAATGTCCTGACACTGATGTTACTCAACACCAGCACACAGGAAGAAAACATCGCTCGTTTGGTGTGAGTAAAGAGACATTGTGTCAGAGATGAAAAACAAAAAAAATGTCACAGCATTAACCTACTACTATTTAGGACACTTACTGTTGGCCTGCGGGGGCCCAGCCTCCATCTCCTGCAGACGTCGGTAGGAAAATACAGGGTCCACTGGCACCAACTCTACTTCCTGGTCAGGCCTGCAGAGAATTGATCATTTTATATAATTATCGGTTAGTTTAATAGCTGTCAGCTTATGTTTAAACTTTTTAGGAGGATTCCCATGCATATCTGAAAATATAAAATTTTCAGTTTCCAGTCATTCGAAAATAATTGTAAACAACCTGAAAAATATATTTTCCCCTGGAAAAACATGATATTTTTTAATCTGATGTCCCCACAACAGCTGGCAGCTGAACTGTCTGTCTTCTGTCTCTCTCTCTCTCTCTCTCTCTCTCTCTCTCTCTCTCTCTCTCTCACCCCAACTGGTTGACACAGACGACCACCCACCTAGAGCCGAAGGATCTGTTTCAGGTTTCTGCCTTTTAATAGGCAGTGTTTCCTTGCCCTTGTCTCCAAGGTCTTGCTCATGGTGGTACTGTTGGGTCTCTGTAAATAATGTTATAAGGAGTTCGGTCTACACCTGCTCTATTTGAAAAGTGTCCTGAGATAACTTCTGTTATGAATTGGCGCTATACAAATAAAATTGAATTGAATTGAACATTTAAATTTTGTAGTAAAACCTTGATAATTGGTGGAAGAAGATCTATTAAACATACTTACATTAGGCAGCAGCTTGCATTGCTGTATGCCACTATTGTGTTCTGATAATACTCTTGGAGGGAACCAGTCAGAAATTAAAATTTCAATATTTCAGAAGTCAGAAATATCAAATTCCAAATAAAACCCTCTTATTGACTAACTTTTATCTTTTTGTCCCTCCGAGCAAAATTGTTTTTGCCACCACCCTCCCTGGTTTTCCCAGCATGCTGCTGTTTTCCAGTCCACAGTTAGTGCAGCTCCCCTTGTTATTATTGCAAAAGTGATAATAAGAGCAAACAATGGTGAGATTTCCTACAAACAATCAAGGATGCCTGCACTTTTTAGTGGGAAATTTGTATGTGGCACTTATATGAAATTCCAGTGACGATGGAGGCAGCAGGCTTTAAGACCTATACTGCAGTCAGCCACCAGGGGGCGATATAGTAGTATTGGTTTCATGTGTCCATCTTTATATATGTCTATGGTTTATTGTATTACATGCTAGGGAGGGCCTTGGAGGCTGAATAGTTTAAACAAATGCCACTTGGCTGCATGGTCTCAACTGTGGCGGGTTTATCCCCCCTCTCCTAATCTCCTTATCACTTATTTAGTTTGTACTTATTTTATTTCAATTTATGCTGCTAAACTGCACAGTGCGTATTGTTGTTTATTGTATATAATATATTTAACTGCAATTTTTGTTGCATTTTGTCACATTTAGTTACTTGTTTTTTTTATGTTAGCCTTTATTTTATTATTTATTTTATTTAACGTTAGCTTATTTTTACTCTAACCCTGTACTACTTTCCCACCTTAGTATTGAAACTGTTGCACAGTAATTTCCCTCAGGATGAATAAAGCTTTTTGAATCTTGAATCTTTAATCTTGAATCTAATTAAGGCAAAACACCAAAGTAAGTGTTATAAGCTATTCAAATGCAATGTAGCACAACGTTTTTATGATTAAATTCAACTCACATTTGTTTTAACAAATAAAAATAAAGCAATCATGATTAATGTTAATTTAATATGTCTTTACATGCTGTTTAAATGGCTTTACATTTGATGAAGGTAGGACTCAACAACTTAACTTAAAGTTAACTTTAAGTTAAGGGACTTGCAAAACAATGACTTGTCTATCAGCTATCACAAAGTCACACACTGAAACCCTGGAGGCAAATCAAACAGCTTTGATTATAGAGCCTGACTAACATTTTCAATATTCTTTAAACAGCCATAAACACACAGTAGTTTCTGTGTAAAGTATTCATCGACATATTTAAATCCAGAGCTCTGACCAGACCGCTAATAGCTAATTCTCTCACCACTCTGAGCTCAAAGGTTTTCGTCTTGGGATATTCCCACCCATTACTTAAACTACATTATATATCAATATGTGATATTATCTAAATTATAGAAAATTGGAAATTTTATCAAGATACACTAGATGATGTACTTATTTTGAGTATTGATGGGATTGATGGGAGAACAATGAGACAATGAGAGCTCAGCATTACCACATAAATAAATAAATACTACCACCAAATAAATTACCACATAAATTCACTAACTGTAATTTTAAAGTATAAGCCAAAGAAGCAGAAAGGGAAGCTCCCTGTACCTGAGTTTGGTGCGGCGCAGGTAACACACAGCGATTGGGATTACAGCCATGAGCAGCAAGCTGACAAACAAAACCCCAATAGTCAGCCATATGGAGAGCCGGCTCTGGTGCTGAGGAGCTGGTGTTATTTCAGGCTCTGAGAGGTTTTGGCCCAGGGTCACAGTGATCACCATAGGAGGAACTTTCCCTGTAATAAAACAGAAGTGGTTCATGTTGCTAAGAAATTAACACAAAAAACAGTACTCTTGGCATTCTATTAACTTTACAGATGCACTTCCTGATTCTGTTTTTGTACCCAGTTTTACCAAAATCTTAAAGCTGCACTATTCAATATTTATGAAACCAAGCTAGAGCTAAAAGGAGAATGAATATTAAACTTATTTGTCAGGTGGACACAAACAGGACTAAATGAGCACTAATGTTGCTCCGTGTCTGCTGGATGCGTAAATAGGAAACTGCTTGCTTGTTTGACATTCACTATAACAACTTCATAGTGTCTATTGTGTGTTTATAGCTTGCTCTGTTGCCCCCAAGGGGCTAAAAAAATCAACTAATGTAGCTTTAAACTACACTAAAATTCAACTGTGCTAAGTGTGCCTTTAAAGGAGTTCATACTTTTATTTTGTGAATAGTTTTATATGTTTTAATGTTCAAAAAACACATTATTTTTCTTATACTGTCCATAGCTGCAGCACCTCTTTTCATCCTCTGTCTAAATTGCTCCGTTTTAGCTCCTGTCTCTTTAAGGCAGCCCTTCCAAAAAGTCCAGTCTGCTCTGATTGGTCCTAAGAAGCTACCGCCTACCATTTTTTCAGTCACTATGCTGGTGTTTTTGCAGCCAGCGTGAATATCACCACAGGAATCGCTTCTAAACCAAAAACTTCTCTTCATGTTAAAACAGGAATCTGACCCAAAACTGTAAGGAAAATATTTTGCTCTGATTATTAACTTATCACAGCTAATCATTGTTGCAGCAGAACCACTGAACAACAGGACATTTTTTTGAGGTGAATACAGCTAACATTATTTAAAGATCCAGTGTGTAACATTTAGGAGGATCTATTGTCAGAAATGGAATATAATATTCATCATTTTGCATTAATTACTGTATGACCACCTGAAAAAAAGAACCTCTATGTTTTTGTTAGCTTAGAATGAGCTGTTCATATCTACAGAGGGAGAGGGTTCTCTTCTGTCTGGCATGTTGCACTACCATGTTTCTACAGTAGCCCAGAAGGGACAAAGCAAACACTAGCTCTAGGTAGGGGTGTTCTAAAGTCAGCAAATTGACTCAGTAATATCAGTTGCACTGTAATATCGATCTAAAGTTTGATAACTTAAGCTAACATTAGCCACCATTAGCTACTGGCCATACCAGACCAAGAGATGCTGTAGCAGCAAAACCCCCTGAGTATACTGAATTTAGTAAAGGTAAGGTTTTATTCTTAAGTTCAACTCTTTAAATATATCATTTTTCTTTAAATAAGCAAGCTATGAACCCCTTAAAACCCAGCTCTTTCCTGTTGAGGAGATGTAATTCATCAAATTTACATCATCTAGCCAACCTTACATACATCTATGAATAGTAACAGTGGCAGTGGATAAATGTGGCGCCCCCTGCAGGGTGGATACATCATTCCAGGCATGCACTGACAGTCTGTAGTCACACTGTGGATTCAGTCCTGTGATGCTGACTGATGTGTTGGTCAGCCCTGCTGAGTCTGGCAGGATGACCACATCATTCCCGCATGACCCCCACTGACTGCCAGACGCCGTTTTCTTCTCACACTTGGCACGATACACCACTTCCTGTCTGCCTCCCCAGTCATGAGGAGGGTCCCACATCAAAATCAGCACAGAGTCATTGTGATGATGGGCTGTTAGATTCACAGGGGCAGAGGGCGGCTCTGTGGAGGACATGACAGGAAAGAAAAAACATGCTTAGACATAGCAAAATCCTAAAATCAAATTAGATGAAGGTATGCAGGGGGAAGGTAGACAGCCTGTATCATCAATCAGTTTTTCAATAAATACATACTCATCAAATTGCAGATAGCAGAAATGCACGACACTGATGGAGCCAGATCCTGCTTTAATCAAAGAAAACAAAAACCCTGCTGCGTTGATTTTTCTGTAATGTGTCCATTCCTGTCTGCCACAGTTACTACCAGTTGACCAAAGTTGACAATTCATTTTGTTTCAGCAAATATGACAAAAATGTTTTTTACTTACTGTTACTGTGACGCCTACAAATGTATAGTCACAACTGTTAAAATGTTTTGTGTATTAGCCAGTGAAAAAGGTCAAATGTTAATGAATCTTTACAGGACATGGTAGTGTTTCATATCTTGTCACAAAGCATTTATAAGGACTTTAAAACCTTCATTATGTTGTTTTGACAACGTTTGATGTGTAAAACAGTAGTTTGCTCAGCTAAGAAACTGAGTTTTCCTGCAATGAAATCTTGCTAGCTGCCGTGAAAAAAAGGTAAACAACATGGCGTCCTTACTCTTAATACTTCTTTCATTTCTGGTCCCTGCTCCTTGACATACCCTCTGTCTTCTATTTGTTTTGTCAAAGCTTTGTGAAGTACAGTTGTGTAAAGTTGTTAAGTCGTTCATCTAAGTCATGTTACCAGGATAATACTGAATATATATAGATCAAATATTTTGGTAAAGTTAAAAAGGGCAAAGGTATTTTTGTAATGATGGCCTGTTATTGTTATGTATACTTTGTGTTTAAGAATTTAGTAAAAAATGTGAACAGCTTGGGCTTAAAAGTATTAATGCTACTGTAAATGTGGTGTTGGACCTAAATAGCAGTCACTGTTGGTGAACAATGGTACAAATTAGGAGTTTAAATTTGATTTCTGTTTTATTCAGCAGTCATTTTGTACATTTGTAAAATGTCAGTCCAGTGGGTTAGTATATGAACCTTAAAGCTTGATGTAATGTAAATTGGGAAATGTGTTTTGAGGAAGATTGTTGTGAACCAAACACTAGGATGGTTTAAATGAAGTGAAAAAGAAAGATTCTGTTAAATAAAAAAAACAGAGAACAGCCTGCTGAGTAACGTAACAAGTAACGTCTCCTGTCTCTGCTTTTCCTTCACAAAACAGGATACTATACCTGCCTACGGGTAACGCATGCTTGAGGCCTGTAACATTACCTACTGCAGCGTTAATGTCTAATCCCATACAGAAGTTTTAGAATAGTATGATGTCTGTTTATTTTCTATAATCCTACTCAGTGTTTCTTACTGGTGCAGCCGAGGTCATCAGGGTCGGTTGGCAGGCGGCTGAAACCGTGCAGACAGTCACACCTCTCTGATCCCTCCCCATGTGTCCTGCTGTTCGGTGGGCACAACCGACATCCTCCATTCTTACTGGCTGGTTTGTAGTAACCGATCAAACATGCTGATGAAATAGAAATAGAAATAGAAACTGTGATTGTTTCTTTCCCGACATTGATACTGGTGGTGTTTGTAAAAGCTTTTATTTTAAATATAAGATTTTCAGTTCATTATCACTATTTGTCCCACTGGTGGCAGGGTCTTGCAAAGTTGGCCAATTGTTTTGGTCTGTTTCTAATCCAATAATGGGAAAAAAGTTGGAGCGTGGGTGGAGCTGAGGTAGGCTGAATGAAGGCTGGTTACTACACAGTGTTGCTAGGCTAGAAAATGTGAAACTGTGAATATATCTTATTGGAAAAGGGATGTGAAACTAATGAAATAAGAAAAGACTTGCAATCTACATAGATCCAAAAAACTCCAAGACTATTTTACCAATAGGTTTGCATCAATGCCATGACAAAACTGTGATCTGTCTAGTTCTACCGCTTTCCTCCACAAAGTACCAGCTATTTGTAGCAGCTAGCGGTTGCTGAAACTCTGGGCAAAGATAAAATCGTTGAGTCGCCTGTGGCGGTATATATGGAAACCAGATTGTATTAATTGTAGAGCAAACTGAATATTTTAATACAAACTTTTAAACATGTTAGGAATTGCAACAAAAAAAGGAAAACAATAATTAAATAAAAAATATTGAATACCCTTGTCCCTCATTTCAGAAAATAAAATATGTACATAATCTAGGGTATTTTTTCTAAAAAGGAAAAAAAGAGGGAGGCTGTTACAGTATGTGTCTGTTTGTGTGTCTCAGATAAGTCTCTCTTCCTGCACCATATTGCGTAAGGCACTTGACCCATAGGGGAATCATGAGGATCAAAACCTGACACAATAAATTGTAAGACAAGAATTTCCAGTTGATAAAGCACGCAGATTTGAGTTACTTTAGCTTTGTGTGAGCTGTGATTATATAAAAGTTACTGTAATTTGAGTTAACAGAAGTAAAAATTCTAAGATGGACAAACTTAAAGCCTAAACTGAAGTTTAGAAACTCAAATCTAATCCCAAATTTTATTTAAGTTTGTTGCCATATAAGTTTGACTTTTCTCAACGTATCTGTTTATTAGTATTTGTTAATTAATTTCAATTAAAGAAATCTAAGAAAAAAAGAACATACATGATAGTAAAGTACTTTGGGAATATACAAGTAAACATTCAAATAGGTATGGAAGATAGACGGTGTATTAGAGCCATTGTAGGTTAAACGAAAAGCACCAGTGGAGTCGGGTAGTATTCCAAGATAAAAGTTGTACATTTGCTAGAAAATAATTATATTCTCTTAGTTAAAGTCACAATTTTATGAGAAAATGTTATTTTATTTTATTTTATTTTACATTTTAGTGACTTCTGTGACTTAATATTAATTACTAATTGTAAGAATTAGTAAGAACCCCCCTCCCTGTGTAATTATTTATTTTACCTACAATGGCTATAAATCGCCAAGACAATCTGGGCCATGTAAAAAAAAACTAAATGATGAATGAAAGTTAAAGCCAAAATCCTCAGAAAAAAGATTGACGGTCAAGAATCACTACTTTGAAATCTAAATTCTTACTTTTCTCTCATAATTGTAACTTTAAAAACGAAAATGTGCATCCGCTTGTATTCTGGTACTGATTGTTGAGTCAGAATATATAGCTTGTGACTAAAGTCTAAAGATTAATTTAATAGAAATATATATTGTTTAATGCTGAATAAATATAAATAAAACAGATGTATGAAGAATCTGAAATAACTGTAAATTCATCCAATCTCCGTACCTTGACAGGTTTCACCCATGACTTGATGCCCAGGTTCACAGGTACACGCCCCCTGCAGTGGAACCCATACTCCATTCACATTACACTCACTGACAGGCCGAGAAACCTCCACAGCTCCGCTCACGCAGGAACCTGACAGGGGACCCGAGCCGGCCCCCGTCCCCTTGAACAAAGCCAGGTGAGCCACGATGTCAGGGCACTTCCTATAGTACAGCCTGATGGATGATACCAGCACACATGTTCCAGAGTAGGAGAAGGCGAGCTGGAAGCCTCTTTGCCGGACCAAGCCCAGGCTCAGAGCCAAACTGCGGTTCAGGTAGCTGGCTGGTGAACCATGGACTGAGGTAGGAATCGGGTTGGAGGTCTGGAGGTCCAGGACTTTCCTACCATCCTGAAATCTTGTGATGGGTTCGTCTGAGTCAAAAAGGTGAACTTGTAGTGGGCTGAGCTGACCAGATTCAGGCTCCTGTTCTTGGGCAAAAGCAACATCCATCAGTAGATTGTGGGCGTCTTTACGCTCCATCCACTTGCTTAAAATAGTTCTCATTGTGCGTCTTCCACAAGCTTGGAGCACAGGAACTGAACCCTGTGTACCCACTCTGAGCCGGATTTCACTCCACTGGGAGACAAGAAACAAGAGAACACCAGTAAAAAGCTGCAGGGCAGAACTACAGGTCCATGCAAATCCCCTTGATGAGACTCACCAACCTCTGAGAGTAAATGTAATAGGGTATATGTCACAGGATCATTAAATTGCATATTGGCCAGCTGAGTTGTTATTCAAACTGCAAGACTATTCTAATTATTCATTTACAGGGAGTTGTGAGAGGCTACAAGGAACTTTCATGTTGTGTTGATTCCGGTGGCCCCTATGAACAAAAGCGGTAGCGTTTCCAGCGTCTCTTTCATTCTAATCCAACCAGGTCATTAAGAATAACTATTAAATGGTGGTGTTGTTTGTTTATAGAGCCATCAGTAGGTCATTTTTAAAAAAAAATATGTTTTGTTACATTTACTGAAACTTTCACTATATCCTGACAGTAGCACATCAGACAGATAATATGTTATAAAATCAAGTGTTCGAGTGCTTCTAATGGTATTTGCAAGAATCCACCGGGCCTGAACAAAAACAACCAATCAGAGCCAAGAAAGATAGTTAATTGTTGAGTTTATTCCCAGGGTGTGAAATACACAGGCTTTCGTACCATTGGGACTCAAAGTGTCTTTATGCCTTTCTTAACGCTGATTGGTTGTTTTCATTCAGGCCCGGTGGATTTTTGCAAATGCAATTAGGAGCACAAGGAGGAGCCAGAGGAACCTGATTTTTTTTTTAAATATTCAGCAAATATGACAAGAACTTATTTTCATAAAGTTATCTACTGCAGCTTTAAATTCAGACTGTTTCATAACCAGTTACACACAAAACTATACATAAATCTCAGCTTTCCAAAATCCATACTGTGGATAAAAATGTGGTCAGTGCTATTTTAAATTGGTTGAAAATGTCAAGTGAAGAAATTAATGAATCATAATATGGTTGATATGTATAGTACTTTTACATTACAGTACATTAACCTTTTCCAAAAAATTGCAACTTCAATTGACCATATTGCGATTTCAGTAGCCTAATGTTACGCTTAAATGTGCACTCCTAAATCATATTTTAATAATGTACAAGGTTATATAGTTACAAGCTCCTTCCTAAGCACCGCCCCTTTTTGCTCTGTGCTCCAAAAACAGTTAAAAGACTTAGTGAATAAATACAAGAACACATGTTAGTATTCACAATTAGGTCCCGTCACACAAACTTACTTCTCTGAGGGGTTCAGAATTCCATCCCAGTGTAGTCTGTTTGTCAGAATGGTAAATCTCCTCTAAACAAAGAAGAGCAAGTCACTCTATTGAATCACGCTGGACTTTGTATATGTTAGACAATTTCTTCTTTAACAGAACAGAGAAACAGAAACACAACAGCAGCTCATTTCCAGCAGCAGAGAAAAGTTGCACTGTACAGATTAAGGTTGTAACAATACATTGTATCACGCTGTGTCACTGAGACTGCTCTTCATCCAGTAATCAAAGTTCCCAGTGTCCCAAGTGTGTTCAGCTATCTTCTCTTTATCAGGGTGGTGTCTGAAATCACTTCCTCTCTCTAAATTAAATCTAAAAATGTTTTTGTTGAGTTCAGCAGATTATATTTGTTCTCACAACATGGAAATCTTCTGAGAATGTTTCAGCTATGTCTGTATTTTAAGGTATGTGAAGTGTCTTTGAGTTCCTCGAAATGTGCTCTATAAATAAAATATTATTATTATTATTATTATTATTATTATTATTATTATTATTATTATTATTATTATAAATGAGAGTGTTGAGGTCAAATATAGATTTACTCAGAAAATAGTTGGGTCTTTTCAGAACAGTTAAGAGACAGAAGCCGTGTAAATCTTAACAACATATCTTAATTTATTAATGATTATTATCTTAATCCTCCCAAACATGTTCTTGTGAATTCAAAAATGAATAGTTTTGTAGGTCTTTCTTATTTTCTGTGCTGTTATGCAGTTATGTTAATTGTTTTCATATTCATTAGAACCAGCAGCGCAGTTGTGATGTTCATACTTACCTTATTATTAGAGTAATGTGCAGGAATGAAAACGTGTGTAGATTTTGTGTTAGAAAAGATGACACTGTACCGTATATGTGTCTATACTGGGACAGTGTTGGCAGTGTGTGTTTATGTGTAGGTGTATAAAAGTATGCAAGGCATTTGGCTCTAACAGCACCTGCAGGGATGAAAATATGTGTATATTTTATGTAAAAGAAGGTCATCATTGAAACATTGTATACCGTATACATGTCAACTAGCCTATCTGAAAAATATATTTGTTTGGTTCAATCCTCTCAATGTGGGGTCCCCAGACCTTCTTGTTTTTAGGAGTGTATGAAAAGCTCAAAATATAAACAACAATCAATAGTTCAATAGTAGTACTAGTATCAATAGTTATAACGCAGCAAAAAAAATGTTGGGATATATTTTACTGTTTTAATCATTTTGATTGCAGCAATACTTCCTTCCTTCCTTCCTTCCCTCCCTCCTTGTATTTGTACACTGTTGTTGCCATCCTTGCGTACATGCTACTATTCTACAACATAAAATCACTCTTAATATTGTATCGAACATAATATTTGATTACAAACATGATGAAAGTCTTAAAGAACATAAAACTCTTCAGAGAGAACAAAAAAATAAATTCATGGCAAATCATTTCTAAAAAAAAATATTGTATTATATCAGAATCAGAAATACTTTAATAATCCCAGGGGGGAATTACTTTATATATATATATATATATATATATATATATATATATATATATATATATATCAGAGAATGGTCCTATCTTTTTCTGGAACACTTCCTGACAATCCCCTTCTAATGCACTTGGCCTGGAGTTGTTAAAGTTTCACACATGAACTGGAATATTAATGTTTTTCCCATCCTGAATGTAAAACAACTGATCACTCACCCTCCTCTGCTTTAAATTGTACGTCACAGCTGGCCTTCCACAGCCACATACACAATAGGATTGAAGTAGGCCAGACCAAGCACAGTGTAGAGTTACACACAGCCATGTCTTCAGCTTGTTAGAAGTCTGATTAATCCACTGCTGTCAGTTGTCACATCCAGCCTGTCAGCCAGTTCCTCAGAGGGTCACTGTGTTACGTCTTACTAATTATTTGGCTCAGAGGAATGCTGTAATAAGAGCACTGAAATGAGCCTTCCTCCTCTGTAAATATACGCCCAGCTCTTTGGACCAGCTCAGTTCCTGTATTTATGTGCTGCTACTGGTGCTGCTGCTCCTTACTTACATACTTCAGAACAAAACAGAGTATATACAAAACACCAAACAACAAAAATACAACTATAATAAGTGAAAGGGCTCTTATTTTTTACTATCCATTAATCTGTCGATCATTTTCTTGATTAATTGTTTAGTTGTTTGGTCCCTATAATGTCAGAAAATTGGGCCTCAAATGTCTTGTTTTGGCCACAACCCATAGATATTCAGTTTACTGTCACAGAGGACTTAAGAAAGCAGAAAATATTTACATTTAAGAAACGGAAATCAGAGAATTTGGACATCTTTAAAAAAAAACCTCAAAACCATTAATTGATCATCAAAATAGTTAAAATAATAGTTAAAAAATAACTGGTTATGAAACAGTCTGATTTTAAAGCTGCAGTAGGTCACTTTTACAAAAATAACTTTCTGTCATGTTCACTGAAACCTTCACTATATCCTGACAGCAGTACGTGAGACAGATAATCTGTGAAAACTTTGGGTTCCTCTGACTCCTCCTAGTGCTCCTAATGGAATTTGCAATAATCTGTCACACATGAATGAAAACAACCAATCAGAGCCAAGAAAGATAGTTGATTGTTGAGTCTCATTCCCTGGGCCATGAGACTATAAATGGTAAGAGTGGTGGACTTTGAGGGGCAGGAGCATAAAAATAAGGGTATCAGGGTGCAGAAAGTGGTGTATTTATGGTGAAACAGCATAGGGTTAGAACCATAAAAGGCATTTTTTACAAATTTAATCCACCAGAAGGGCACCCTAGAGGACACTTTATCTACCATAAGGGGGAATAATCGACCCCCCTGCTCACCACCAGTGATATAAAAGCCTTGACATGACAACTAACTATATAAGGGACTATACATACATCCTGTATATTAAGCTTTATTTGAAATTGATTGTTTTGTGGAATTCTCTGTCAATCAAAGGTAATGAAAATACTTGGGTGGTGCTTGAGCTAATGAGCTACGGTAGCAGTGTCTGAAATGGGCTGGTACTCACTGGTAGGGGAGACTCGGGTAAGTTGAGCCAAAGGGTAAGTTGAGCCACCCCTTCTTGTTGGAAATGGTAAAAAAACATTGATCATGTGACCAATTATTTAGGAGGAAGGCATCATTTCATGGAGTCTGTGAAGGTAAGAACCACAAAGTGGTTAGATATTTATTTCCAAAAAACATTTTTCCCTCTTGAAATTTAATTTAGTCTATCATAAGTTTCACCAGTATTTTTTCAAGGGGTATTTGATAAAAAGCATTTAATAATTGGGTAAAAATACTTTGACTTTGATGAACCCCTAGCAAGTTCAGTTTTTGTACCCCAGTATTTTTAAAGTCCTGCGTACAGCGGTGCTGGTGAGGTATTCTTCTTAAGGAATTTTTCACCACTTGCCCCAAAATACTTTTCTTTGGCATTCCATTGCAATGCAATTATTTCACCGTCACATAAATGACAACTCCTGAATCAGCGTATTTCGATGTTAAAGGGCGATCGGTCAGTCGCTCAGTCCTTTCAGTCCTTTCAGTCCTTTCAGTCCAGTATTGGGCAACACTTTCTTACTTCCTCTTCCTTTCTCTAGAAATGTTGTCAATTGGAAAATTTCTGCTTTTGGCATTTATTTTGAAAAAGAATGAATCGCCCACACTGGCACATTGTAAAATCAAAGTACACAATATTAAATTACTGAAATATGAACGGATTGATGTTTGGTACCATTGTAAAGCGAAACTAGCTGGACTTTGCAGAAGATAGGTTTGTGTGAAAGAAGTTCTTCTTTTTATATTTGCAGCTGTGGTTTCTCTATGTCATCAGTAAACTTAGGAGCAGCCAGAGGAACCTGTTTTTTTCACAGATTATCTCTCATGTGCTACTGTCACTTGTTTTATCAAGTTACAAATTTCCTTTCAGTAAGACCTCTGCACCCTATAATATATCAAAAATACATTTAGTGGATTTTTTTTAGCATAACCGCCTAAACTGAGTGGTAGAGATAGCTCAATCAGGTTCAAAATGTGTTGCAAAAACTCTCATCTTTGTGATGAGCTGAACTTGACTCACTGTCAGGGGGTTAAACCACAGCCTGGACTGTGACGCAGCGGTGGAAACTTGAAGCTGACTCAGTATTCCTAAAATAGAAAGAAAGACATTCAATTTTTTAAGGATAAAGAACCACAAAGAATTAATCATTATTTGCAAGTGATCGATTAATCAAAATCAACGTAGTGGAAAGAGCGTCTCATACTTGTTGGGGTGGTGGATATTGACATGATTCCACTCCGAGAATCAAAGAGTGGGGAGCATAAAAGCTGCTTTTTGTTTTTTGTTCCAGCAGGGAACCAAACAATAGCGGACTTTCCTTGGGAACCAAAGTGGGCGTGTCATATTCTACATGTCATTGTGCATTGTGCAACGCCCTCTGTTGATGACGCATCCTTGATTACAATGGTTACACTTAAAACAGAACTGGAAACGCAGGCTGGTTCGCTAGATAGCACCAAGATTCCAAACCCTCTATGGATTAATATCTTCTAGTGATAGACATATGATGCAATATATTTAATGATTTCATACATAAATAAAACAGTGGACGGTGTAAAGGCATTCAAATCTTTTGTATTTTCCAAACTTTACAAATAGTGCAAATGTAACATAAAAACCCAAATAAAAGATTTCCAACAGCAATCCTTTTACAGGCTAATTCACACAAGTGGTGGTCAGAGCTGCTACAACCAGCAGCTAAGGCAACATGAGAACTGCAAACATCAACACACACACACACACACACACACACAAAATAAAACCTCTCAGGCCCAGAAATGTCACTGTTACAGAACGTCCTTGTACTGAAGTGAAAACACACAACCTTTCAGTGCAAAAACAAGGAGGAAGAATCTTGAAGCGCTAATTCACTTTTAGCAAATGTTAACATTATGCTAACGAAGATTTGGCTTTTATCATGCAGAAAAATTCCCCTTTTATTTCAGAACATTTGTCTCATGTAAGAGTTGTTATTTCCTACATTATTTCATGGATTCATTGAACACGTTTCAACACGTCAACCTGAAAATCAGTGGCAAAAGAAAACATGTACCTGTACAAAATGTACTAACATTCCAATGTCCCAGTCATTATATGAATGCAGTCTAATCAAATGCTACAATAATGAGGGCTATACGCTTTGGTTTAAGGACAAACCAATAAAGTAGACAAATCTGTGTGGCTGCTTTTCCAGTGGATATGTCTTTAATAAATAAATAAAACTTTAAATGAATTTAATAAGTTAGACTCCAATCTGTTCCAGGACCGTGTCTGCTGTCTTTGCCCTTGCATTCCATTTGCACCTTCATCCCACTGGCTCCACTGGAGAAGCTGTCCAACATATATGATGTAAACATTTTCAAATCTCACATCAGACTGCATTACATTCACCTTTCTCTTCTACAAACGGACATATTTTTAGCTTTGTGAAAAAATAAAGCAAACAGCAAACATAAAGGCTGGAAGACATGACCACAATCCAGTTTAAATGAACTCCGCTGGTTGAAGTAAATCTGCGCAAAACTTGGGCAGTAAAACTAAATACTTTTTCAAATGTAGCACATCTTACAGTAAGGCAACTGTGGTGACACATAGCATGTTCAAACAGTACTTTCCTCTAGGGTTTGACCAGTATTTGTTGTTCTACATGTATGTTGTCAAGACTGGCTTTAACCACGACTACAATCCAATCCAGTTTTTTAACCAAAACCCCAACCTTAATCAAGTAGTTTTTTTAAGCCTAGTCCTAACCAAACCTTAACTAGAAGGAGAGCAGCACATATCTGCACCAAACATATCCACTCTCACACACTTTGGATCAAACACAAAACACATTCACAATCCCAATCTGTAACAAAGTCACTAAAAACACAGCACGGAAACTGTAAAGCAAACAAGATACAAGCAGCTCTCTCTGACGCACTCAGCTCCTTCTGTCAGCCCGGTCTCATTCCCAGGACATCACATACCAACACAGCCTTTGGGCGAGTCATGAAGAAGCACAAGGTACCCTCTAGTGTTTGTATGAGACGCTCCAGGCTTTGATCTAGTCCGTGTAAGGAGGGGCTTGGGGTGGATGGATGGCTCAAGCATCATGTAACATACAAAATTATGTACCAAACCTAACCAAACTGCTATCATTGTACAATGTGTTGAAAAGGCGTCTCACACAGACACCAAAGGGTCCCTTGTGCTTCTGTAAATGATGCCAAGGAGTGTGACAAAGCATAGCTGGTATATGACGAACTGGGATGAGAACGTGTTGCTTCTGCTAAGTGGGTCAAAGTTCCTTGTTGCATTCTGTAGGGTTTGATAAATGGACAATGGATTGTGGAAACACTACTGCCCACTCCAATTACCTAGGTCTTTGGTCATAAAATGGAGCCTAGTGTCACATTTTAAGACACAAAAAAAAAAACAGGACGGAAACATAGCTGACATGTCTGGGAACCTCACTCTGGTTGTGGACCACCTCTGTCTCTATTAGAAGAACACCACCTCATACTGGCTCAGTGTGTTTTTGTGCATCCTCCATGGATCAGCTGTGTTGGCAGTCCTGGCCTACATGTCGTCTTACTGTTGACTCTGTAGCAGGTGAAAGAGCACCAAACATCCCATTGTCCCGTTCTTGGTTTTGTCTTGACCCACATTCTTCCAGATCGGTAACCGAGCAATTCGTGGCCGGAGGTCGACAGAATCACTGCATCATACACTTCTCCTTCTGCTGTTTAGCATACTTCCTCCTCCGCTGCTCCAGACCTCGTTCCAGACGCTCGTCCTCCTCCAGAGCTCTGAAGAAGAAGAGAGAGGGGAGTTATAATACCAAATCACAGCATGATTTTTTTTATGGTGTCCCATATGGATTTAGA